ATGTAAGCTCTCTTTTTTTGGGGGAGGGGGGACCCGAAACAAAGTTAGAGTAGAGCTTGCTTGTAGGTTCATGGGTAGTTAAAAGTAGGGGTTAGCAGTACCCTAAACACGGCTATTAAAGGTTCATGAGTAGTTCTAAGTAGGGTTGCAATGTGCCTTAAGGGTTCTACCCAGCTATAAACCCTAAACCCTATTGACGGTTCATGAATTCTTCTAAGTAGGGTTATAGTTTGCCTTAAGGGTTCTACCCAGCTATAGCCCCTAAACCCTAACCCCTACACCCTAAACCCTAAATCCCCACCTATGCACCCAGCTAACCTCCAAGTAGAGCTTGCAGGGCTTCGGATGGGACGTCGGGGCTGAGAAGATAGGAAGGGTGCAGGATCTAGGGTTTAGAGGGTTTAGGGTTTAGGGTTTAGAGTTTAGGGTTTAGGGTTTAGGGTTTAGGGTTTAGGGTTTAGGCTCCAGATTCCGAAGCTGGAGGCCGGAACCCCCAACCCGCCCCTGCGGAATCCCTTCAAGAGAGTCATATTCGGACTCAGACCCCTAAGGTTGTACCCCTAGCTCTCCTGAATTATACTCCGAATATGGCCCTTATATACCCGTAGAAGGCCCAAGAGCCCAACACCCCTGAAGGAAGGAACATAGCTGAATGTATATAGGGATCCTTACTTTTGACATTTTGGGATGTTGCCCCTTACACTAGCAGTCCTTAGTAGGGATTGTGGTACCCCCTATTGCCCATGAAGGACTGTTAGTACGTCCCAAAACATATTCCTGAATTAAGAGGGAATTGGGGCTCTTTGGGAGCTCTCCTTGGCATCTCCCTAAACCCTAAACCCTAAACCCTAAACCCTACACCCTAAACCCTAAACCCTAAACCCTGGCATCCTTGTGAGGCTTGAAGTACTACTACAACTTCGAGTCTCAGCAGTCTGTGCGGAAGCTGTCGTCCAAGGAGTTCCGCACATGCACAGAGCTTAGGAGGGTTTGGGGTTTAGGGTTTAGGGTTGAAGGCCTAAAACACCCCCCCCCCAAAAAAAAAAAAAAAACAAAAACATATGTTCGGCTCGGAGGACAAGGAACAAGGCTGAGGTCATGTTGCCTCACGTTTCTGCTGATTGGAGAGTGTGGGAGTTCCTGGTGCTCTGAGTACGGGGTTTAGGGTTTAGGGTTTAGGGTTTAGGGTTTTGGTGCTTACGCTCCCTAAGCTGTCAAACACTTTGAAGTCGTCTTTGGCTTTCCTCATTTTGTTTGGTTCTGGGTTCCCTTATCAGGTAAGCAACCACAGAAAGGGTACCCCTTAAATAAGGAATATACCGTAGACTATACGGGGATCCTCAATATACTTTAAGGTATATTCCCTGTTTAAGGGGGTATTGGGCTCATTGGCTCAGTCATCTTGTTGTGATAAACCCTAAACCCTAAACCCTAAACCCTAAACCCTAAACCAGTATCTAAGGCTGGCCTGGCAGCCTCCCCCGCCGATGCCTGTGGGCGCCAACGCGAGCGTCGGGGCGAAAAGGGCCGCCAGCTGTGGTTCGGGTTTAGGAGTTGAGGGTTTTGGGTTTTGGGTTTAGGTTTAGGGTTTAGGAGTTGAGGGGTTAGGGTTTAGGGTTTAGGTTTAGGGTCTAGGGATAGGGTTTAGGGACAGAGTTCATCGAGGCGGGTGGAGTCTCTTGGAGGAGGGTTTCGGGTTCAGGGGGTAGTACAGCAGGGAGTGGGGTCAGTAGAACGAGGCTGGGATGCCCAGTATGGTACCCTTATTCCCTTTTTTGGGGGGGTTAGGTTCCCTTATAAACCCCTTTAAGCAAAAAGGGTACCCTTATTTTTAATCATGGGTTACTGAGCATCCTAGGAGGAGGCGGAGCCATCTTTGCGCGCGAACATGTCAGATCCAGTGCGATTTCGGTCGCGGGGCTTCTGCCGGAAAACTCTTTAACCTGGAAGCCCAACGGGCGAAAGCAAGTGGAGAGACAGGGAATACTCTAATCAGGGAGAGAGAGCGAGAGAGAGAGGAGAGAGCGAGCGAGAGAAGCAAGACACATTGAAAGTTGAGCCGACCCAACGCTCCTTGAACTGCGAACTACACAGCTAAATCCCTAAAACCCGGGGGGGGGGGGGGAGGGGGGTGGGGGGGTGTCCCAAATTCAATGTACGTAAGAGTTTTGGGGTTCCTGCAAGTAATTTAGAAAAATGGTGCCCCGTGGCAGGTCCAAGACTTTGACACGCTGTCCGATGGCAGCGGCAGCACTGAGGCATGGTGCATGCCTTGTCTTGCGTCTAGGGTGCTTCGGGCTTCGGCGTTGCCCTAATCCCTAAACCCTAAACCCGAAACCATAAACCCTAAACTTCTTGAGCCGACAGGCACATGGCACACCGAGGCTTGCAAAGGAAGGCACCTTGTTTGGGGCAGGATACTAAGCAACTGAAACCCCAAACCCTAAACCCCAAACCCCAAACCCCAAACCCCAAACTTAAACCCTAAACCCCAAACCCTAAACCCTAAACCCGGAGACTTCAGGTCGATTTCGACACCCAAGAAGAATCAAAAAAGGCCGGGGGATGTTCTCCCCCTTATACTAAGAGTCCTTTGCAGGAACCCTAAGCCCTAAAATCCCTGTGAAGGACGACTGCAAGTAGAAGGGGGAACATCCCAACCTCAACCCTCCAGGCGCCTAAGCAAGCTTTGCCTGTAGCCCTGGTCAGTCCTGGAAGTTCCGGCAGACGGCCGGCAGCATCGAACTCGTGCTGGGCGGCTAAGTTTTCTGTACGACTTGCAAAGAAGTTGGCTCCGGGGGGCGACATTGGGATGATATGCCCTTGCGTAGCGAGGCCAACGGGGATGACACGGCAGAGAGGAAGAGAGAGAGAGAGAGGGATTGGGATGATATACCCGTAAACGACTCCTATACCTGGCAATACGCACAAGGCAGTATCCTACTGCTTCAACAAATGCCCCCCAATCTTCGGGATAGAGGTATCATAGATTCAGAGTGTCAGCGGTCAGCGTTTGTTTGGTTCTCGGTAAATAGTTCTCCTGTGGCGCACCTCCTTTTTCACAGGGTTCTGCGCAGCTCCATTTCTAACAGAGTTTCGGGCACAATCCAGCTCTTAGAATAGGCCCTAAGCAACCATCAAAAAGCTGTAACCTTGGGACCTGAGGAACCCTGAACAGGTTTATGGCTCATGCACCTTAAAATCGGGCTTATAGCAGCGTCGGGTACCTGGTTGAGGGGTTTGGGGTGAAGCGCAAAAAGGTTGTTCTAGGGATGTGCGGTGCTTCATGCATCTTTGCTACAAACCCACAGCTCGAAACCCTAAACACCCTTGGGCTGGGCTCGAGGCTCGAGTGTAAAGTTGCTGGGGCGCTGCATGACCATGTGTGGCCATGCTGAACGTCGTGCCAACTGCGGCCACAAGCCACACCTTACAGGACCTGGCAGCCCAGGGGTACCCTGATTCCCTTTTTTATGTTCTTGGTTCAAGGTTCCCCTTTATCAGGTCTAAACCCTAAACCCTAAACCCTAAACCCTAAACCCTAAACCCTAAACCCTAAACCCTAAACCCTAAACCCTAAACCCTAAACCCTAAACCCTAAACCCCTCCCCCCCCAAAAAAAAAAAAATCAAAAAAAAAGTGCCCTTACTACCATATGGTTGCTGGGCAACCTTACAGGACGACGCGGCCCTCCCTGCAGAGGAGGATGACTTGGAGGAGCAGCTGCGGCGGTGCCTGCTGGGCAAGTGCATCCCAGCGGATGTCAAGGCCCGCGTGCGAAAAGAAGCCCGAAACCCCTAAACCCTAAGCCCTTAACCCTAAGCCCTAAACCCTAGCCCTAAACCCTAAACCCTAGCCCTAAACCCTACACCCGAAGCCCTAGTCCCTAAACCCTAAACCCGAAACCCGCAAGGATGACACGCACAAGTCGCGAAGTGTACCAAGTCGAAAACCCGAAACCCCAAACCCGAAACCCTAAACCCTAAACCCTAAACGTCCCCAAAAAAGGCACTTCTGGAGCTCCGGGCGGACCCGAACTGCGCCTTTCGGTACACCCTCGGGCCAAAGGAGTCATGAGCTCACCCTTGACCTTGGCAGCGACTTCGTAGAGTAGAGTAAGGGTTTATAGGGTTTAGGGTTTAGGGTTTAGGGTTTAGGGTTTAGGGTTTAGGGTTTAGGGTTTAGTACACCCTCGGGCCCGAAGGAGTTCATGGGCTCACCCTTGACCTTGGCAGTGAAGCGCGATCTGCCCAATGTGGCTTGGGAGGTTACGGCTTGGTAGCCCAGGGGTTTAGGGTTTAGGGTTTAGGGCTAGGGTTTAGGGTTTAGGGTTTAGGGTTGAGGGTTTAGGGTTTAGGGTTTAGGGTTAAGGGTTTAGGGTTTAGGGTTTAGGGTTTAGGGTTTAGGGCTAGGGTTGTTTGGGGCTTGGGGTTGCTTCGGGGATCCAGGGCTTAGGGTGTAGGGGTTTAGGACTGGCTGCAGAGACCTGGTTGAAAAAAAAGGGCTGCTTGGGAAATTCAGGAAATTAGCTACTGTTTGCTTGGTCCCTAGCCTTCCCTTATGAAGTAGCCAACCCAAACAGGGGCGCCCTTATTGTAATATGGTTACCGGGCTACCAAGAAGGAAACCAACATGAAAGCAGTTCTTACAACATTGAAACAAGTATCAGAAGAAGCAATCGTAGTAAGACATCCCTACGCCCTCAACCCTAAACACCGGAAGAGGTTTTGGGCTTCGGAGTAGAAGTCGCGGATGGGCTTGCAAGGGCATAGGGCCCGCGCTCCGAGTCTTCAATCGCAAAAAGTCGTTAAGGAGAGTTCCGAATCATTTCCCGAGACTAAGTGATTTCTTCAGATCTTCTGCCTTCGCTTGGAAGAGCCATGTAGGGGTTTAGGGGTTTAGGGTTTAGGGTTTAGGGCTTTTTGGTGGGCTCCGGTATTCCAGCTCAGGTCGTCCGGCTGTTGTTTACATACCAAGCGCACCCGGAGGCAACATACTCGATGACAGCAGGACCAAGCCTTCCTAGGCGTTGGAAGACCAGCAGGGTTCGTAAGCAGGGTGAGGGTTTAGGGTTTAGGGTTTAGAGTTTAGGGTTCGTAAGGTGGGTTCTGAGGATTATAAGCGGGTTGCTAGGGGATACTAAGTAGACTTACTAAGTGTCAAAAAGATCTTCCATGTAAAAGCCTATTGGAGAAGCAGCTCTGCAGCCGAAGAGGACGTTCTGGAGTTCGGTGGACGGGGCCAGCCGTTTGCGGCACCATCGCCCGTGGCAATCTATCCATGATGCTTAGTAGTAGAGTAGATAGCCTTTAACCTTCTTGGGTTCCTAAACCCTAAACCATAAACCCTAAACCCTAAACCCTAAAACCTAAACCTCCAACGAAGGATGCGGCTGCTTGTGGACTTCGAGGCCAACTTGAACGGGCGCGTGATTAAGTTCAACGGGGAGCCAAATGTAACACTGCTTCTTGGAGTGAGTGTGCTGTTTAGGGTTTAGGGTTTAGGGTTTAGGGGTTTAGGGGTTCAGGGTTTAGGGTTAGGGAAACAATGTGTAAATTTTCGGTTGGCCTCCACTATCGTGAGGCCAAGGACGAAGTGCCACCCAAACCGTCATCCAGAAGCCCTAGGCTAACAACCCGAAACCCTAAACCACGCCCCGCCTCCCTGAAACCCCGACAACACTCCCCGAACTCGGGTGCTAAGGCTCTATGATGCAAGTTACTTCGGCCATGCACACCTGGTTCGCTACCTGCTGCAGCAGAAGGGCAACCCTGACACGGCCGTGAAGTTTCAGGATTGGGACATCAGCGATATTCCTTAGGACTTGAGGCTTTAGCGGCCCTAGGCTTGAAATTCAACCCTAAACCCTAGACCTAAGCCTTGCAGATTCCTAAAGTCATACCTTGAACCCCTAAACCGCGGAGGCGGGGGGGCCGTAGGAGTCCAAGCACACGAGAGCACCGAGGAGACACGTTGAGGTCTCAAGAGTAGATTGCGGGGGGGGCGGGGGGTGGGCGGGTGGGTTCCTAAACACGGGTTCCCCTAAATATACCCCAAAATAGTCTCATTCTCACTATTCTGAGCCCTTCTTATGGATACCCTTATTGGCTTCTGGCTTACAGGTCTTGGAGCTAGTGGTTTGCCGTAAGGTCTACCACCAGCCGACCTACTTACCACTCAGCTCAGGTTCCCGCGAAGGGCCGGTAGGCTCCTGGAAACAAGCTTATAAGGGGGTGTCCAAAATTAGGGTACCTTATTGGGGTCCTTACTACGACTACTTGGGGGTTTATTAGGGGTCCCCTATTTTCGTAAACCGCCGTAAGGCCTAAACCCTAAACCCTAAACCCTAAACCCTAAACCCTAAACCCCTGGCGAGGATGACATGACTATCACGAAGACGGCCCTCCACATCGCTGCGTCCTTGGGCCACGAAGAAGTCGTGCGCGTGCTGCTGGCGGCGAAGGCCCAAGTCGCCCACGCTCTGCCCAGTGCCTTGGGGACGAAACGAGCCCCTAAAAATGGGGTCATAGACCCTCTACTACTAGAACTCCTATTAAGGTATATGAACCATAAATAAGCCTATACTCGTACCTCTACTACTAGAACTCCTATTAAGGTATATGAACCATAAATAAAGCCTATACTCGTACAATTCCTATTCCTGTACGGTACAGGGAACCAGGAACGCTTTGGGGACGAAACGAACCCTAAGAGGGTTCATGGTTCAGATAGCTTAGTTATAGTAGCATCCTAGTTAAAAGGGTTTATGGTTCAGATACCTGAAAAGGAATGGGGGGGGGGTCATATACCCTGTACTACTAGAATTCCTATCTAGAATTCCTATGAAGGTATATGAACTATAATTCCTATTAAGGTACATGGAACCATGAACCCTTTTAGGGTTTGGGGTTTAGGGGTACCTAAACCCTAAACCCTAAACCCTAAACCCTAAACCCTAAACCCTAAACCCTAAACCCTAAACCCTAAACCCTAAACCCAATTTTCGGGCTCATTTCGTCTCCAAGGCGGGGGTGGTCCGCCTGAGCTCCGGGACGCCGTAGATGGCTGCCACGTGGAAGTCGGAGCCTCAGAGGTTTACAAATCCGTGTGGGGCATTCTCTGGGTTCCCTTAGGGTTTAGGGTTTAGGGTTTAGGGTTTAGGGTTTAGGGTTTAGGGTTTAGGGCTAGGGTTTAGGGCATGTGGAAGTCGGAGTCTCAGAGGTTGTGGAAGAAGGAGGTCTCAGAGTTTTCAACTTCCTGTGGGGCCGTGGGTTTGATGATGTACTATTTGCTTAAGCGCCCTAAAACCCTAAACCCTAAACCCTAAACCCCAAACATATCAAAGCCCAAAAATTTCAAAGATAAGAATTCCTATTATGCCCTTAGAAGGAAGAACTTTTGTTTTACACTTTTGTAAGGGAGTTCTTCGGGCAATAGTTGCGAGAGCTGGGCTTTGAAGGTTTGGGGCTTTTCAGTTGTTGAATACTTCGGGTTCTCGGCAGAGAGCCGCCATGGGCTGCTTGGAGGTTCATGGCACTTATTAACCAAATATTACTGTACTTATAACCCACTTATAAGCCCCTTAAGTGCCCTAATATGGTTATAAGTACAGTTATAAGTACAGTTATAACTGGCTAGTAAGTACAATGAACCTCCAAGTGGTGCATGTTTTCCACCAAGGTTGTGAAGCTTCTGGTCCAAGGCAGCGGCCACAACCTAAACCCTAAACCCTAAACGTGCTACTGGAGCTCCACAGCAATGCAAGACCCTGAAGCCCGAAAGCCCCAAACCCTGAACCCTTAATTCTGACTTCATGGAGGACTTGGGCTTACCTTGGGGACCAAATGAACCCAAAATGATCACATCCCTCAACATGGTTGCAGAAGTATGTGGTAGATCATCCCAAAGTATGGGTTCATTGGCCATGCAAAGAAGCCTAAACTAAGTAGGCCCCAAACCCCTCAACCCTCAGCCCGAATCTAGGCAGAGTGCTTGCAATCTGTGGTGCTTTACTGTAACTTTAGATCCTTAGCCTTGTCTTGGGTTTATTGGGTTTCTGAATGAGGCAGCTCAAAATTCAATTTTATGGCTGCCCTGCTAAGTGCAGCCAAGTGCAGAAAGCCGAATCTAGGCCGAACGTTGCAACCCGGGTCAGGCAAGGCCGACGTCTTCGGAGGTGACCTGGGCAAGCGCGGCATTGACCACATCTTCGAGGTCGGGCTGCCCTCAGCCCTCAACCCTAAACCCTGAACCCTAGCCCTAAACCCTAAACCCTAAACCCTAAACCTAGACCCTAAACCCCTGCAATCCTGCAATGTCTGTTTTACGATGTCAGGGATGGAGTTGCAGTGTTTTGGCTTTCGTCATGACATGTAAATTTCTACCATTTGCTTAAGAAGAACCCCCCCCCAACCCAAAAAAAAGGCTTCTTCCTCATGAGGGCAAAAACTAGGGATGTTATTATCATCTTTTTATTGTTGCTTTGGTGATTCTGAAGCAAATAGTGGACATTTTTAGTTCTTTTTTTGTGATTCTTAAGCAAATAGCAGAGAATGTGAGCCGTGAAAACAGGCGAACAATTCTGTCCTGGTGGCGGCCACTGCAACCGGCTTGAAGCAATCCACATCAGCTGGAACTTCGTCGATGCTTGTTGAGGCATGTCCTCAGCTCGCATGGGGTTAGGGTTGTGGGGTTTTAGGGTTTTAGGGTTCAGGGTTTTAGGGCCTCAGTGTTTTCGGATTTAAGCAAAGAAGGGCTTCTGGCGCAACACGAAGCGGGAGCACCACGGTAAACCCTAAGCTCACCCCCATGCGAACACGGCAGGATTTCATCCACTTCCTTTCCACGCCAGACGCGGAGGAGATCGTAAATGCAGTGTTCTGCAACTGCGAGCTGCGCTACTGGCAACTGCGCTTGACTTGGCAGACGCCCATAGGCCCCCCGCCCTCCACAATAGACCCCAAAACCTCAAACCCTAAAACCCTATACCCTAAACCCCAGGCAAGGGGAACGCCGGCTGGTCTGGCGAACTGCGTATGTGCCGCATGGCGATATGAACGTGGCTGTGGGCCCCACCAAGGAGCAGCGGGTTCGCGTAAGGCCCTAAAGAGTTTAGGGTTTAGGGTTTAGAACCCAGGTAGTTACATGGTCCATACTTCAGAGATTCAGAGCCCTTTGAAGGAAAGGGACCAAACTAAGGGAGCATGTAGCTACCCCGAGACTAAACCCCAAACCCTGAACCCTTGTAAAGGGTGTAGAGCAGAGGCCCGGATGCAAACGGGGTTGAGAGTTAGGGGCTAACGGTTTAACTTCGAGTTTAGGGGCTTACGGTTTAAATGGGCATTTAGAGTGGTAGAGTAGAGTTTATGGGCTTCGGGCAGGGTTTAGGGTACCTGTTCACTAAACTCCTCTGCCTCTGGTAAGACAGGAGCACTTCGAAAAGAAGTTCCAGCAAGAGATGAATACTCGGAGGGCTGAAGGACAGCAGGACCACATGGATGAAGAGTTCTTCTCCCATCTGCTGCCCCGACGATTTGACAAAATTCCGGGCCAGTCACAGATACCTGCGCCCTGGTCCGACCAAACTTGTGTGTTTTTTTGGGTTTAGGGTTTAGGGTTTAGGGTTTAGGGTTTTTCTGTGCACGTTTCTGGGGCCGCCCGAAAGCCACAAAGACAACAGTGAAACGAACTCTTTGGGCCGCATGAACCCATGACATGGCATCTAAACCATAAACCCGGACCGGGAGTAGGCCGTGTTTTCCTTTTTTTGAGCGTTGGGGTTCCCTTATAATCCCCTTAACCAAAAAGGGCACCCGTTTTATTCCTAGGTCACTCCCGGGGTCTCGTAAACCCTAAACCCTTTAACCCTGTTGCTATTGGACCCGAATTTAGAAAACTACCCACATTGTCTACCCTCCCTAAACCCTAAAACTCCAAAACCCTAAAACTCCAAAACCCTAAACCCTAAACCCTAAACCCTAAACCTCCAACCCTGTTGCTATGGCTTAGAGGGTGCCAGGTGCACATCTACCAGTGCCTCTTGCCCGGCTTGCACAGAAACCCAGAGGCGCACCTCGGGCCGGGGTTTAGGGTTTAGGGTTTAGGGTTTAGGGTTTAGGGTTTAGGGTTTAGGGTTTGGGGTTTAGGGTTTAGGGTTTAGGGTTTAGGGTTTGGGGTTTGGGGTTGGGGGTTTGGGGTTTGGGGTTTGGGGTTTGGGGTTTGGGGTTTGGGGTTTGGGGTTTGGGGTTTGGGGTTTAGGGTTTAGGGTTTAGGGTTTAGGCTTGCTTCGGGTTTAGGGACTTAGGGATTCAGAGCTTGGGTTCTGTGGAGGTGTGCAGGATTATAAGAACCCCCCGTTCCCCCGCGAGCCTGGGGAAACTCTGGCGATACACAAAGTCCCAGGGTTTAGGGTTTAGGGTTTAGGGTTTAAGGTTTAGGGTTAGGGTTCCTCATTGCAAGGCACCTCCCCTGTGCAGGTGCTGTGGGTTATTGCATCTGGTGTAAATGATCGCATCTTCGATCAAAAGGGGGCGAGGGCAATCATTCAGCTGGCATGGAGGGAGGCTGAAATCTGGCAGATCATCGCATTTGTGCTAGCTGCTCGGCCTAAACCCAAACCCTAAACCCTAAACCCCCCCCCAACCCGAAACCCCACGATCAGCTCTCGATATCCCTGTTGCAGTCTCAGGGTCCTTTCGCGTTGCCGATTGTCCATCAACTGCCAAATTGGCCTTCAGTATACCATACAATATGTAATCTGTATGACTACATATATACATACACATACATATATATATATATATTTATATTTATGTGTATATGTATATATACACGTATTCATACCTTGGTACTGGTAGCCCAGTGGTACCCTTTTCACTTTTTGTGGGTTCAAGGTTGCTTTATCAAGTACCCACCCAAAAAGGGTACCCTCACTGTAATATGGTTATACTGGGCTACCAAGATACACCTCCCGTAAGGACGTCATCATGGCAGTTCTTTTTGCTTTGATGGCCCTGCTGTTGCTGTGCCCGCACTAGCAGGACCTTCTTGCAATTTCCTAGTCGTCGGGGAGGTAACTTTGAGCTTCGTTTTGGGTGTAGGGTTCAGGGTTTCGGGTTCAGGGGCAGGTAGCTTTTCACCTTTTTTCGTGGGGGTGGGGAGGGGGGGGGGGAGCAAAGGTCCCGAAGTGTTCGTTTCGGGTTCTTGCGAGTAGGGCGGAAAAGAGGGTTTTATGGCCCACATGTTTGTGGGGTTACAGGAGGGGTCTGTATTTAAGTTTCAGGTTCCAACAACAGCTCAGGGGCTTGTAGCGGGTTTATAACCCCTAAACCCCAAACCCTAAACCCCAAACCCTAAACCCTAAACCCGAAACCCTAAACCCCAGTACCTCCAAGGCAGCATGACCCTCACTGGATTCCAGCCGTCTGGTTGCGGGCTCCTTGCCTGGTCGTCGCGGCGTTGACGCTTGGCAGTCTCAAGTGTTTTTAGATGTTTGGCTTTGGGGTTTAGGGTTTAGGGTTTAGGGTTTAGGGTGTAGAGGGAAGGGTGCGTAGGGTGGTTTTAAGTCTTGGTGGATCTGTGCTTTCAGCATCTTTCGTTGGGAAGTAATTTCCAGCGAAAGATAAAGAAACCAAGGGGGGTTTTGGGGTTAAGGTCACTTCGCTCATGACTCATACCAGGTTGCTTGTGCTGAGGATCTGGCTGCGAAAAGTCATCCACGAGATCTTGTCTTGTCGTGGGCATTTCGCCCACGGCAAGCTCAAGCAGCACTTTCTCTCTATGGGCTTTGCAGGACCCGGCCATTCAGCCAGCCTCTTTCTCAGTTTCGGGCTTAGGTTCGTCCCCAAAAAACCCTAAGCCCAATCAGGAGATGTTGTCCGAATCTCCATCACGGCAGTCAGTCTAGTTGGCTTGGCCGTGAGCTGGGAGTCATTTCAGAAGCATCAAGAGCTACAGCTTCTTGGCTTAGGCGAGTGTGGGAGAGTTGGGCCTGTTGTATTCGTTTTTAACAGGGTTTAGGTTCCCTAGTAAGCCCCTTGAAAAAAGCAAACGTGGCGTGCTATTTATGCCTGGCTTGCTCTGGAATCTCGTGGTTCAATAGGCCTGGTGCCTTAAACCAAACGGCGCTTGGGCTGCAAGAGTGCTCGGGCACCCTCAATACAAAGCCTGCAGCTCTCAACCTTGCCTACCACTTGCTTAAGAACCACCCCCAAAATTTAAAGATACTGTACATCCTTGTAAGGGTAACACAGGGATGATCATCTGCCATGGGCTGGCGAGGCACCGTCGTTTCGGGTTTAGGGTTTAGGGTTGAGGGTTTAGGGCAGGGTTTAAGGTTTAGGGTTAGGGGCGGAAGGTTTCTGCAGCTTGTACCAGACTCCGGAAGATTTGAGCCGTCGGCATTGGCTCAGAGAGAGCGAGTCTGGGTTCCAGAAAAGGGTCGTCTCTAGTGCCAAGAAGCAGTGAGCGACTGCCTGCGCATCATGCCCCTTGCGATTGAGGTGAGCCTGCTGAGCGGTAGGTCGGCCTTGCTGCAAGCAGAATTGGGTGAGACGTTAGAAACATTGCGGAGAAGAGCGCTGGAGACTTTGGCGGTTGGCAGGGGCAGACTCTTGCACGCGTCTGGGGGCGTTCTGGACGAAGCGACCACCCTTGAGGAATCTGGGCTGCGGAGCGGCGATGTGCTGACCTTGCAAACGAGCAGCGTTCAGATGTGCGGCAACGACAATGCTTTTGCAGCCATCCTGGGCGACGGTTCTGTTGCGACCTGGGGCAACGCTTCCAGTGGTGGCGACAGCAGTGCCGTGCAAGGTCAGCTGAAGAACGTGAAGCAAATCCAAGCTACCTGCGAGGCCGTCGCTGCCATTCTGGACGATGGGTCTGTTGTGACCTGGGGTGGGCCGAACTATGGTGGCGACAGCAGTGATGTGCAAGCTCAGCTGAAGGATGTGCAGCAGATCCAATCTACCAGCTCATCTTTTGCTGCCATTCTGGGCGATGGGTCCGTTGTGACCTGGGGCGATGCTGCAAGTGGCGGCGACAGCAGTGCTGTGCAGCCTCAGCTGAAGGACGTGCAGCAGATCCAAGCATGTGACACAGATTTTGCTGCCATTCTAGGCGACGGCTCTGTCGTGACCTGGGGCCGTATTTGCAGTGGCGACAGCGGTGCTGTCCAAGCTCGGCTGAAGGGCGTGCAGCAGATCCAAGCTACCGGCATGGCTTTCGCTGCCATTCTGGGCGATGGGTCGGTCGTGACCTGGGGCATGTCTGCCCGTGGTGGCAACAGCAGTGATGTGCAAGCTCAGCTGAAGGATGTGCAGCAGATCCAATCTACCAGCTCAGCTTTTGCTGCCATTCTGGGCGATGGGTCCGTTGTGACCTGGGGCGATGCTGCAAGTGGCGGCGACAGCAGTGATGTGCAGGCTCGGTTGCAGGGCGTGAAGCAGATTCAAGCATCTAGCGAAGCGTTTTCTGCCATCCTGGGCGATGGGTCTGTTGTGACCTGGGGCGATGCTGCAAGTGGTGGCGAAAGCAGTGCCGTGCAAGCTCAGCTGCAGGACGTCCAGCAGATCCAAGCTACTACTGCGGCTTTTGCTGCCATTTTGGGCAATGGGTCGGTCGTGGCCTGGGGCATGGCTGACTGCGGTGGCGACAGCAGCCGTGTTCAAGACCAGCTGAAGGACGTGCGGCAGATCCAAGGTACCAACTTCTCTTTTGCTGCCATTCTGGGCGACGGGTCTGTTGTGATGTGGGACATGCCTGCCAGTCGTCGCAACAGCATTGGTTTGTCTGAGCTGAAGGGCGTGCAGAAGATCGAAACAACCAGCTCGGCTTTTGCTGCCATTCTGGATGATGGTTCTGTCGTGACCTGGGGGAATGCGAACTTTGGGGGCGACAGCAGCGCTGTGCAAGATCAGCTCCAGATTTCATAGCATAAACCACGCTTTCGTATCCGTGTTTGTTGGGTTTTGCTTTAGGCTTTCCAGGGTAGCCCCCGAATAAATTCCGACAATCTACCCCTTGAAGAAGCTGCCACATTGACCCGCATGCGGGATTCGTGGGTTCAAGGTTATGTTTTAGGCTTCAGGCTAGTCATATTGTGGTGAGAAGCCCTCCAACCAGCCCGCATCTTCTTCCACCTGTGTAGGCGAGATTCCTAGTTACAGCCGAAGAAGAGAGAACGCTTAACCCCAAAGCCTCCGGGGCTTGTTAAGCAAATGCTAGTAGCAGCTTGAGGCTAGCCTTGAGATGTTCCCACTGATACTCACAGTCCTTAATGGGGATTATCATAGGGGGTACACAATAATGCAATCATCAAGGGACTAAAGGAGGGACCCTTATAACAGGGGTAATTTGGGGGTTGTTTAGGCGCTCCTTAGGAATATAGGGACTACGTAAGGTGTGGTTGGGGGTTGGTTTTAGGGTTTTAGGGTTTAGGGTTTAGGGTTTAGGGTTTTAGGGTTTTAGGGTTTTAGGCTTTAAGGGTTTAGGGTTTAGGGTTTTCCCCGCGGATGGGGTACTAAGATGATCCCCCCCCCCTGTGGTGTGGTTGGGGGTTGGTTTTAGGGTTAGGGTTTAGGGTTCAGGGTTTTAGGGTTTAGGGTTTAAGGTTTAAGACTTAAGGTTTAGGGTTTAGGGTTAGGGTTTAGGTTTTAGGGTTTAGGGTTTAGGGTTTAGGGTAGGGTTTAGGGTTTAGGGTTTAGGGACCGTAGAGTAGACTTGGGGGGGGGGGGGGGGGGGGGATACCATGGGGGGGGGGGGGGGCCCAGGACGCTCGGCGCTGAACCACACACGGGGGTTATCTAGGGGGAATAAGATTAAGGGTCCATTCTGGGGGTCCTTTTCCCCCATAATATCAAGTAGCTGTTAGTATAAAGGGGCCTATCCCGAGGCTAGTCTTTGCATGCACCGGGTTCCTGCGGTGGCTCCGCGTTCTCAACAACCTCAAGGGCTTTGAGAGCACTGGCAAGCCCATGCTACCCATTCTGCAAGCTGTACCTGCCACGAAGGTTGATTTGGGAACATTTTTAAATGTCTTTTTGTATCCCCTAAGCTTCACATAGTCCTTGCATAATCCTTAGTTCATCCTTCTGTCATCCTTATAATCAGCCATAAACGTTTCATCGGTTATCGGGGTCCCCGAAGCCTACCCTAGGCTACTGGCCCTTTCTTTTTCGTGGTCTTCTGTTGGTTTGCGGCCTTCGTTCACTTGTACTACTCCTTTGGGCTGGGAGATTTCTGGAGTGGCGCGACCATACTGTACAACCTGGGCTTCTTAGCAGAGACCCTTGGGCAGCCCTGAGGTGCCCTTATACCTTTTTTTTTTGGGAGGGGAGGGGGGGGGGGTTTGGGTTTAGGGTTGGGGTTTAGGGTGTAGGGTTTAGGGTTTAGGGTTTGGGGTTTGGGGTTTAGGGTTTAGGGTTTAGGCTTTTTGGGGTTCCCTTAAGCCCTTATACCTTTTTTTTTTTTTGGGGGGGGGGGGGGGGTTTGTGGGTTCCCTAAAGATAGTAGCCAACTCAAAAAGGGGTGCCCTTGCTAGCCCTAAGGGTCCATGTACCTTATTATTTCATACTTGGGCCCCAAAAGTCCCTGTATACGAAGTACTTGAAGGCCCAAGTATTCCCTATTTAAGTACATGGACCCTTACCCTAAACCCCTAAGCCCTAAACCCTAAACCGCCAAGGACCTCAAACTCGATCCTGCCCGAAGATGGCGAGTCGGCAGATTGGCGTCTCCTGGTGGATCTCGTGGTGATGGCTGCTTGGTGTGGCACCTTGAGAACCAAACACAGGGTTTAGGGTTTAGGGTTTAGGGTTTAGGGTTTAGGGTTTAGGGAACCTACCAAGGTCACACGGAAGCCCTAAACCCTTGAAACTCTTCAAGCACTTCAAGCCCTAAACCCTGCACCCTAAGCCCTCTAAACCCTAAAGGCCCTCTAAACCCTCCAAGCCTTCCAAACCCGCTAAACCCGAAACGGGCAGGTGATGGTAGGGTTCAGGGTTCAGGGTTCAGGGTTCAGGGTTCAGGGTTCAGGGTTTAGGCTTTAGGGTTTAGGGTTTAGGGTTTAGGGTTTAGGGTTTAGGGTTTAGGGTTTAGGGTTCAGGGTTTAGGGTTTAGGGTTCAGGGTTCAGGGTTTAGGGTTTAGGGGTTTAGGGTTTAGGGTTCAAGGTTTAGGGTGTTTGTGAGGAGCCCAAGAAACAGGACCTGGTGTGACATCGGCCCCGCAGGCCCCGAAGTCCCTGCACAAACCCTATAGCTCGATCAGTGTTAGGGATCCTTTTTACTTTTTGGGTTATTGGCTTTCTTGTATATGAACAAACAGGATCCTTTTTTCTTCCTAGGGGAACGGGATAAAGATAAGCCATCCCGCGGCTTGTCTGGGCTTAGGGTGTTCAGGTTTTTTTTTTGTTTTTTAAGGTTTTTGGGGGTGTTTTTTAGGGTTTTTTGGGTTTTATAGTTTTTAGTGCTTTTGGGGTTTTAGAGTTTTTGGGCTTTTCAGGGCCTTAAACGACGTACCCTAAACAAGCCAGCCCTTCCGTCCCGAGGTCATGAGCTTCAGCATGTCAATCATCTTGCTCAACGTGCTGATCGGCGTGCTGGCCGAGAGCTACAACAGAGGAGCTCCAGGGTTTTAGGGTTCAGGGTTTAGGGTTTAGGGCGTTTAGGGCGTTTGGGGCGTTTAGGGTTTCCTCAAGTCCAGTTGCAAAAGGGTTAGGGGTTTCCCTGGCGCCGAAAAAATGGGGCAAGAGGGTTAAGGGTGCAGGTTGGTAAAGACTATGGGTCCTTTTCAGGGGTCTTAGGATGCCAAAGGGGTTTAGGGCTTAGGGTTTAGGGTTTAGGGTTTAGGGTTTAGGGTTTAGGGTTTAGGGTTTAGGGACATAGTTTCGGAATTTCGTTGCGTTTTTGTGCAGTGGCCTTCTTGGCAAACGTGGTCGAAGCAACAGACTGGGACCCGGAGTAGGCCCTTATTCCCTTCTTTTTTAAGGGCTTAGGTTCCCGCGTAAGCCACGAACCCAAAAATGGTATCCTTTGTATTCCTTTGCCCTGAACCTAAAATCTAAAAACGCTAACGGAATTAGCTTAAGTAAGCCTAATAATGCCAAGCATACCATTAAAATGCGAAGAATATGCTTAATACTAGAATGCTAAACCCTAACATTCTGCGGAGAGGATGGGAGCATCGGGAGCGACTCTTTCTCTTGGAGAGGTCGCGGTTTCTGGTGAATCACTTCACCATGTCCTACGCGTGGAAGAAGCTCGGTCGGCTTTGGCTCTACTAATACTACAAACAAGCTCAACCAGACAAAGAATATTCAACAAAAAATGCGGGTAATGCTATTGATAAAGCAATAGGTGTCTTTTGCTTTTATTTTGGGACATACATATACATATATATATATACATATGTATTTATTTGTTTGTTAAACGGATTTTCCTTTTCGAGGGTGTGGTGTTTGGGGTTTAGGCTTAACCCAAGGAAATGCCCCTGCCAAAAGCGCCGGGTTCGTGGTGAGGAGGATGTGGATTACGCACCTTGCGCTGCAAGTTGTCCTCCCACACCCTCTTAGGGTTAAGGGTTGACCTAAGGGTCCATGTGCCTATTATGTACTTGGGCCCCAAAAACATATAGGCGGTTGTCAAAATTATGGTCCCTTTTTGGATCCCTATTATAAATTCGGCACCTAATATTTCAGGCACCCCAAAAAGGCTCATAGTTTTGACAACCACCCATATAGGAAGTACTTGAAGACCCACAGTAGTCCCTATATAGGTAACTGGACCCATAGGAACAGCTTAAGAAGCCTAGTACCGCGCCAGCAGTGACCCTGTGGGTCAAGGTCTGGTATGCCTATCCACGCACACCGTCGACATGGGGCGATATCAATTCTGATTTTGACAGCCGCTTGGCCGATGCCACGCAGATACGTCCACAGCATATCTGAGGTGAGCATATCTGTTTGTGAAATATACATTCCCGCCCGAAACCTAAACGCTAAACCCTAAACCCTAAACCCTAAACCCTGAGCATGTCTGTTTGTGAATTTACATGCACGGTTGTGGCGTGTGCCTGTGTGCTGGTGCCAATGTGTCTCTCTCTCTCTCTCTCTCTCCTTAGGAACTGGGGAGGGTAGGCAACCTTTCAACCTTTTGGCTATATAGAATCCTACATATATATATATATTATAAATAAATAAATAAATAGTTAAATAAATAATAGATATATATATATATATAAGGCTAACCATTTTTTGGGCCAGGCGATTCAGCCCCTCAGTCTCTCCTAAACCCTAAGACCTAAGCAAGGCATGGACATGAATGTCCACGAGAAAATGTCCGAGCTTCGACGCGAGGCGCGAAGTATCCCTGGGCAGCCCAGTGGTTACCCCCGTTTGCGGTTTAGGGTTGGGGGTTTAGGCTTCAGGGTTCAGGGTTCAGGGTTTAGGGTTTAGGGTTTAGGGTTTAGGGTTTAGGGTGCTAGGTAGGGTTTTGGGTTTGGGTTCAACGTTCCCTCATAAATTAACCAACCCCCAAAAGGGGTGCCCTCATTAGAATATGGTTCCTGGGCTACGAAGATTCCAAAAGCAGTGATCCTCAAATGGCGGCTTGGAGGACCTCATCCAAAGTCACCCAAGCCTTCTACACCTCTAGAACTCTGCGCTTTTTTTTGGGGGGGGGGGGGGGCCCCCGGTTTTCTAGGCTCCCCCTAAACCCGGAACCCTGAACCCTAAACCCTAAACCGGTACTCAGCGACCCCTGGCGCATATTCAAACTTAGGACCGGCTGTGAGCAACATCCCAACGACCCCCAAAGCCCCCGAAACCTCGATGATGTTCGTCCCCTGATTTGTTGAACCCCCGAATTTCGAAACCCTAAGCCCTGAACCCTATATGGGGGTTTAGGAAAGCAGGGGACCCTTAATTTTAACGCTACGCGACCCGCCTCGGCCCGGCCCAGCGCATCCGCGTGAGCATGGTGATTCCGCAGTGGGAGGGGGGTGCGTGTTCTGACAACCTATACACCTCCGGCCCGAGGCCTCGGCGGATTTAGACCCACAGCTAGTGGGATTCCCTCTTCAAAAGGAGCCCAATAAGGCACCCCTTAATTTCGGAAACCCACAAATACACACTGCGGTGTTTTGCCGCGGGAGGTGCGAGAAGCAATGCAGAAGTTTGCGGAAAAGGCGCAGGCTCAGGACGGGTACTGTTGGTGTTCCAAAGGGTTTCGGGAGGGTTTAGGGTTTAGGGTCTAGGGTCTAGGGTTTAGGCTTTCGGGAGGGCTCCCAGCGTTCAGGAGACCCCAAACCCTAAACCCTCAACCCTAAACCCTCAACCCTCAACCCTAAACCCTGAACCCTAAACCCTAAACCCCAAACCCAAAAGTCAGGGACCTCCAGGATCCGACTCGTGTGGCCGATGTGGAGCGAAAGGTCGATGATGTCCGTGCCCCTTGCCTACACCCAGAAGCCCAAAGCCCGAAGCCCTAAACAGGGTTTAGGGTTTAGTGGTTAGGGTTTAGGCCCTAAACCCTAAACCCTAAACCCTAAACCCCAAACCCCAAACCCTAAACCCTAAACCCAAACCCGAAACCCTAAACACTTGTCTTAATAATCAGTGAAAAGAAGCAAGCTTAAGCCAGGTGGAAACCCAGTTGCTTCAAGGGCTTTAGGGTTTAGGGTTTAGGGTTTAGGGTTTAGGGTTTATTTAGGGTTTAGGGTTTAGGGTTTAGGGTTTAGGGTTTAGGGTTTAGGAGACCTGGATGCAAAAGGGTGCAGGTTTAGGGTTTTGGGTGTAGACCCAGGGCCCATGTATTCACTCCAGAAGTGAGGCCAAGCTCGACCACTTGACTTCGATGCTCCAGGACGTGGGGGGTCCTTAAGGGTTTTTGGCGGGTTTCGGGTTTAGGGTTTAGTGTTTAGGGTTTAGGGTCTAGGGTTTAGGGTCCAGGGTTCAGGGTTTAGGGTTTAGGGTTTAGGGTTTGGGTCTAGGGTTTACTGTTTCATGGGGGGCGGGGGGGTAGGCACCGAGGGAACTTTACAAAACCTTAGGGAAGTTTAGGGAGCCTTAGGGAGTAGTGGGGAGTATCAGAAACCTTGGGGTTACATAGCCCCTTGAACCCACCCCCCCTCCCTTAAGGACCCTATAAGTGCAGAGGGCGGGCTAAGGGTAACGTTAGCTAGGTTGGGCTGTTGGCATCTTATATACATACATACTATATGTTTATGTTGGTTGTTTCTTCCTTTTGTTGAGTTTAGGGTTTAGGATCTTAGGTTGGCTTCGGGGATTAGGGTTTATAAGGCTACAAGGGGCCCTAGACACGAATGTTATCCAAAGGTTTAAAGGCCAACCCAGTCAAGTACCCCAAGTCCATTCTTGGTGTAGGGTTTAGGGTTTAGGGTTTTCCCGGGGAGGTCGGCTTTGAGTCCACAACCTTCTGAATCCTTCCCCCGTGATTTGTAGATGAGTGTAGGGTTTAGGGTTTAGGATTTAGGAGAAGAGGGGTTTAGGGTTTACCCTAAGTTATGCTGGCTCTCATTTTTTGTATGGCATTCCTTTTCGGTTCCAGACGCAAAAAGTCAGGGTTACGCTTTCAATTTACACCAGAAGTTCTAGTGACTCATCTGCCATGAATCATATATAGGTGGAGAAAACTGGATGAACCGACACCCGTTGAGGCTCCCGACAAGCCTTCTTAGCAATGAGAGGGTGGCCTGTGTAGGCAGCATCATGCCTGCCACGCCCCTTACGATTGAGGTGAGCCTGCTCAGCGGCAGGAAGGTTTCACTTGAAGCAGGACCGGATGAGCTGGTCGAAACACTGAGAGGAAGGGCACAGAAGGCCCTGGAAGTTGGCAGGGGTAGGCTCTTGAACTCCGGAACTATTCTGGATGGAGCAGCCACGCTTGAGGAAGCTGGATTACAGAGCGGCGCGACACTGACCTTGCAGATGAGCGGCGTTCAAGTCTGCGGTGCCTATCGGGCTTTTGCTGCCATTCTGGGGGACGGATCGGTAGTGACCTGGGGCACTGGTACGGCTGCCGACAGTAGTGCTGTGCAACATCGGCTGGGGGACGTGCGACAGATACAAGCTTCCATGACAGCTTTCGCAGCCATTCTAGACGATGGGTCTGTTGTGACCTGGGGTGATGCTTGCGATGGCGGCGACAGCAGGGCTGTGCAGGATCAGCTGCACGATGTAGTGCACATCCAAGCATCTACGTTTGCTTTCGCTGCTCTTCGGGGTGATGGGTCTGTTGTGACCTGGGGTGATGTCGAGGCCGGGGCCGACAGCAGTGCTGTGCAAGGTCAGCTGAAAGAAGTGCAGCAGATCCAGGCATCTTGCTTTGCTTTTGCCGCCCTTCGGAGCGATGGGTCCGTTGTAACCTGGGGTGAAGCTGAGGCTGGTGGCGACAGCAGTGGAGTGCAAGCTCAGCTCCAGGGCGTCAAGCAGCTCCAGGCGACTGCGGAGGCTTTTGCTGCCATTCTCAGCAATGGGTCCGTCGTGACCTGGGGTGTTCCAGACCATGGTGGCGACAGTAGTAATGTGCAAGATCGGCTGAAAGACGTGCAGCAGATCCAAGCTACCAGCGAGGCTTTTGCTGCCATTCTGGGTAATGGGTCCGTCGTGACGTGGGGCAATCCAGACTATGGTGGCGACAGCAGTGATGCACAAGATCGATTGAAGCACGTGCAGCAGATCCAAGCTACCAGCGGGGCTTTTGCTGCCATTCTGGGCAATGGGTCTGTTGTGGCCTGGGGCAATGAAAGCGGTAAAGGAAAGGGTAAAGGGAAAGGAAGCTTCCAAGCAACCATAACTAGCAGCGACGTGCAGGGTCAGCTGGCAGGCGTACAGCAGATCCAAGCTGCCAGTGGTGGTGCCTTTGCTGCCATTCTGCACGACGGGTCTGTTGTGACCTGGGGTGTTTCAGACTTCGGTGGCGACAGCAGCGCTGTGCAAGATCGACTGAAAGATGTGCAGCAGATCCAAGCTACCAGCGAGGCTTTTGCGGCCATCCTGGGTGATGGGTCTGTTGTGACCTGGGGGCTTGCTGAGAGTGGCGGCGACAGCAGTCATTTGCAAGACCGGTTCTGAAGAACTCGTAGTCGAGTCAGGCCATAGCTGCTTTGCAGCCACCAAGCAAAGGCCCATGCTACCACTCCAGGTCAAGACTTCAAGACGCAAGCACCCTTGAAGCGTCACGCCTTAAGCCATATGTAGATCACACAGGCCCAGCTTTTCGCTACCCGCGAACCTGCAAGAAAGCGAAGCACACAGCTAGAACCTTCATTCCTTTTTGTTTGGGGTTCGGTTCCCTTACAAACCCGTGTAAAAATGCAGACAACGAAAGGGTTTCTTCCTGGGTGACTCTGTGGCCGAGTCACCCTAAACCCTAAATCCTAAACCCTAAACCCTAAACCCTAAACCCTAACCCCTAAACCCTAAACCCTAGCCCTAAACCCTAAACTCCTTAAGGGGGCTTTTCAAAGGCTGTATAGGTTAGAAGCCATCGCCAGAGGACCGGAGCAGCGAGATGTGGAGCTGACTGGTGACTTGGAGAGCATCAAGATGCCGAGGAAATCCGGGTTTCGCTGTGGGTTTAGGGTTTAGGGTTTGGGGTTTAGGGTTTAGGGTTTAGGGCTAGGGTTTTCAAAAGACTTCGGAAGCGATCGGCTTGGGGCCTCAGAGCAATGAAGGTGGCAGTCTGCATGATGGTTAGGGTTTAGGGCTTAGGGTTTAGGGTTTAGGGTTAAGGGTAACCCCGAAACCCGAAATGCAACCGCAGCATCAGGTAAGGCCCTCCATGCCTCGACGCGCTGCAGTGACGGCCTGATGTTTAGGGTTTAGAGTTTAGGGTTTAGGGTTTAGGGTTTAGGGTTTAGGAGGGTTCAGAGATGTTGACGCTTGAGGTCTGGGGGGTTCAAGTGTCTTGACTACTATTTGCTGAAGAACCCCCCCCCCCCCCCTTTCTCAACAAAACGGATTCCCTTATACTGGCAATATATAAGGGATTATTCAGCAGTTAAGGGTTTAAGGGTTTAGGCGGTTTAAGTGGCTTCAGGGTAAAACGTCTAGTGGGCATACGGGTAAGTATGGGCTCCACAATCCTCCACCGCAAAATGCGATGATAAGCGATGCCTTGCATCTCTGTAGGAGATGCAGAAGCAACGCCCCTGCCACTGTTTGTCTTGGTAGCCCAGTGGTACCCTCTCCCCCTTTTCTGGTTCAAGGTTCCCTTAAAAGCAACCAACCCCAAAAAGGGGTACCCTTATCATGATATGGGTACTGGGCTACCAAGTTGTACACAGCTCGGGAATGCCTGGCTGGAATACCCAGCGAGGTCTGAGCCCAACTTCTTCCAGCGGCTGGGGGGAAGCCAATCTCTCGCGGAACAAAATCTGCAGGCGTGCGCTTGTCATATACCAGACAATGTTCGATACAGAATATACAAGTTGCAAGATGAGACATCATACAACAAGTCACGCATGAGCCCAGTACAGTATATACGTCACCCTAAGCCCGAAACCCTACTTTTGCTCTTAACCGTTTACCCGAAACCCTGCTGCTTCACTAAACCCTAAACCCGAAATCCTACTTTTCTGCATGCGCGCGGAGAAGACGCATCTGTGAAGTGATGTGGAGGTTGGTACCTTTAAGTTCGGGGTGCCTTGAGACAAGGGGCAGGATTCCGAGAGTTGGAAGTGCACATCACAAAGGGGACACGATCAGTTGGACAAAGCCCATGAGAGGCTCTAGCGAGAAGCCTGTATAAATTCCTGAACCCTGTATGGCCTTGCACCCTCAATGACGACCCGTACAGCGCTCTACCACTGCACGCCACCCCCTAAACCACCGAAGTAGAGTTTGGGAATTTCACGGGTTGAGGGTTGGGCAATAGAAGCTCCTAACCTCAAGCCCGGCGTAAGTTGGCTTGCCGTTCAGAGCACCATTCGCACAATGATTCTCCAAACCCATCTAAAACTAAAATGTTTTAAGCCGTTTGAGCCATAAACCCCTAAGCCCTGGAAATCCCCAAGGGCCTGAGCAGAGGCCTCCGTCCGTGGTTGTTACGGATGTGGATAGCGAGTGCCCCTCTGCGCGCTTGGGCGAAAGACTGGTGGGGCGGGGGTTGAGGGTTTAGGGTTTAGGGCTAGGGTTTAGGGTGTCGAGGTCGAGGAGAGCTATGGGCAATCTTGGCATGTTTGCCCGAATTCAGCAGGAATGTTCGCACTGTTTTGAAGAGACTTTAAAGGTCCGAAACCCAAAACCCTGAACCATAAACCCTAAACCCTAAACCTAATGGCTCGGAATGTAGATCATGGTGGATCTTGGGAAGTTTCAGGGGGTACCTGCCCGATTTTGGGAAGTGCTTGTATGTACTCGTATAGTCACGCGATAGGGGCCCTAGTGAAAAGTAGTCCCCCGCAAACTGCCCTTTTGCGGTTTAGGGTTTAGGGTTTAGGGTCTAGGGTGACGCTGAACGTGCTACTGGTACAATTTACTGGCCTGGCCACGCCACGTGGTGTGCTTCGTGAAATCATCCTTGCAGTGCGGTTTGCTGCATGGCGGGCCCCTCCAACCCTAAGATGCAAGACCCCTGCAACTCCCCACACCTCTCAAGCCAAAGGCTTTAGACTCTGAGAGCCAAAGCCCTAAACCTCTATTAGGGTTTAGGGTTTAGGGTTTAGGGTTTAGGGTTTAGGGTTTAGGGTTTAGGGTTTAGGGTTTAGGGTTGAGGGTAGACCGAGAGAGGTCAGAGGTCGGAGCAAACCATACAGAAAGCAGTCCGGCTCTGCGGGCGGCCAAACAACCGCCAGAGTGCTAGAAAACTGTTCTAGGCACGTGGCAAGATGAAAACACTTAAGCCCCTAAACCGCAAACCCTACACCATAACCCCAAACCCTAAACCCCAACACCCCAAAACCCCAAAACCCTGAACCCCACACCCTAAACCTGTGCCGTTCCCTGCAGTGAGTCTCTCTGAGTCAGCTAGGCGGGTGGAAAAAAAAAACAACCTCAAACCCCATAAACCCCATAAACCCCATAAACCCCCTAAACCCTAAAACCCCATAACCCCATAACCCTAAACCCTAAACCCTAAACCCTAGCCCTAAACCCTAAACCCTAAACTCCCCCTGAGCTCAGGAAGGTGGTGTCCTTTGCTGCCGAGCCCGAGCTAGAGTCGCTCCGCCTAGAGGGGCTTTTCAAGGTTTAGGGTTTAGGGTTTAGGGCCGGTGTAGGGTTTAGGGTTCAGGGTTTAGGACGTCTAGAACGTTCAGGGTTTCGGGTTTAGGACGTTTAGGGTATAGGGTTTAGGACGTTGAGGACGTTGAGGGTTTGGGGTTAAGGGTTTGGGGTTTAGGACGTTTAGGGCGTTTAGGACGTTTGGGTTTAGGGGCCTCCCTCATTTCCGTGCGAAGAACCGCTAGGCTGGAGGGACTTGTGGGGTTTCTGGAGCGCATACTTGGAAGCCCCTTTGACTTAGCAAGTAGGCTTAGTAAGGTGGGTTATGGGGATTATAATAGGGTTTCCAGGGGATACTAGCAGACTTACCAAGTCAAAAGAGCTTCCAAGTAGAGGTTACAGCGTTATAGGCCTTTAGGGGCATTCGGATCCGGCCCATGGCTCCTGTTGCAATAAAGGGTTTAGGGTCATGGGCTTAAAGTGCTGAGGTGCAGCTTAGAGGCACTTGAGAGAGAGAGACCTCGTTGCAAAGGGTTTAGGGTTTAGGGCCTAAGGTATAGGGATTAGGGTTTAGGGTTTTAAGGTTTACAGCATCGCCTAACCTCGAAGCCTGAAACTGCTGGGCCCCAAGCCCGAAGAGAGGGGGGGGGGGGCTAAACTCTAAACCCTAAAGCCGAGGGTCTTATCACATCCATTTGCCATGTTTCCAGTTTTAGGGTTTCAGGGGTTTAGTTCTAGCGTTTTAGTTATTTGTTCATCATGTTTTCCGGGTTCGAAGGAGACGACGTAATCTTTAAGGAGGTGATTGCTACGAACGTGTAGGCACATAGGGTTGCTAGTAGGGTATACAGGGGCCGCTTTGTAGTTAAGTACCACAAGTTCAAGACCCCCTCCATCGTAGAATATGCTGCCCAATGCCCACTCTGATTTGATAGGCCCCTATAAGGGAGTCCATCTATTCACCCAGACACTGAACCTGAAACCCTAAGGGTGTAGGGATTTTAGGGTTTAGGGTTGAGGGTGTTGCCTGTGCATCCAAAGGCCTGCCCCTCGAAAGTCACGCTTCGAGGGCAAGGCTCGGGATACTCTACTTCTGAGGTCTCAAGCCCTGAGGACCAAGCCCTACATCCTTTCTCAAAGTCGAAAGCCCCGAATCCACGCACCCTGCTTGGAAGCTCTTTTTGACTTTTGTACGTCTCGTATCCCCTAGAAACCCCATGGTAATCTCCATAACCCACCTTACTAAGCCTACTTGCTAAGTCAAAGGGGCTTCCAAGTATGAACTTGGAGCCCGACATTGAGGGAGCTGAGCAGTTATCCGAGGCTGTTTGCTTTGCCGATTCCCACAGATGAAGTTGCCTTCAGGAGTCACATTTGACTCCATGCGTCGGCCTGACAGCGCACCGGCACATGCACTTGGCTGTAGGGTTGGCACTTGTCTGTATATCCTTTCAAATTCGAGTAGGGTATATATGTATATATACCCTGTCAAATGTGAGTAGGTTATATGTATATATATATATGTTCATATATATATATATATAAATACACATGTATATATATATATATGTATACGTCCTTATTTCGAGGGTATGCCGTACCCCCTCACACCAATCGCCTAAATCCAACACCCCTCCAAAAACAGACTAGGTAATTGAGACACAGTTGTTGTGACCTGCACAACACAACTTGGGGGGCAAGGGGGGAGGCTTTTTCAGGCACAGCCTGCGACAGGAGGAGAGGCGAGTTGTAGAGGATGCGTTGGATGGATACAAGGAGCACCATTACCCAAGAACCCTGAATCCCACCCTAAACCCAACCAGATCCACCAAGCTGGACCCGAAATTTGCCCGAAACCCTAAACCCTAAACCCTAAACCCTAAACCCTAAACCCTAAACCCCAAACCCCAAACCCCAAACCCCAAACCCCAAACCCCAAATCCAAACAACAGCCCCTTGGGCCCTTGGTGTCAGGCCAGGGCCTCTCGCGCCTCCAAGCGCGATCCAGAGTTGATGAAGGATCACCCGGACCCTAAACCCTAAACCCTAAACCCTAAACCCTATACCGGCCCTGGGTTCCTCTTAAGAGTTAGGGTTCGGGGGCTTCGGGTTTAGGGGCTCAGGAAGATGCACCTTCAACCCTCCCCCCCCCCATCCCTCCAAACCCCCCCCAAGACACCCCTGAAGATTAGGGTCGAGAACCTCAAAGCCTGATTCTGGGTCTTGGAGTACTATACTTTAATACTTTTTTTGGTGCTGGGTTCCTAGTATAGCTACTTCTACGTAAAAAGTATATACTTTTTTTTCCAGGGTCTACTCCAAAGCTAAGTGATGCAAAAGGGTTTAGGGTTGAGGGGGTTCTGAAGATCATTGTGGGGCTGTTGGCATGATTCCCGCAGGTCACCGGTGTAGGGGCTCGGCATTTTATAGTGCGTTGGTGCTCGAGAGGCCGAGTGCACGGAACCCCCCCGCCACCTCCGGGTTTAGGGTTTAGGGTTTAGGGTTTAAAATATAACCTCAACCCTTTGAAATAGAGGAAGGTACTTCCTCAAGCACAGGATGCTCGGCATTTAGCCGCCACGACATCTGGGGGGCCTACAGGGGGAAGCAAGATGACAGGAGCTGCGCAAGAGCATCCAACAGAAAGCCGAGGCGCAAGGGGTGGGGACACGGAGAAGAGGACGTAGGGCTGCGTGGTCAAGGGCATAGTTGATCAAAGGTTGAGTCTCATAAAAAGTAAGACAAGACCAATTTGTCAGTTCATGTTGCTTCGACATGTTGTTGTTTCTACATTGTGCTTGTTTCACGAGCCACCGGCTCCTTTTTTGTTTATCAGGCTCTCAGTATGAAAGGTGAGAGGGAAGGGTTAAGATGCCAGGACCACAGGCTGCTCGGTCTGGAAAGTGCGGCTCTTTGAAGCTAAGGGAGGTACCCGACATGGTTCTTTAAAGGCTTATGTAGGGCGGGGGGGAGGGGGGGTGAGGGAACCCTAAACCCTAAACCCTACACCCTAAACCCTAAACCCTAACCGCATGCAGGATGCCCAATTACCACTTTGTTTTTTCATCTCAGTCACTCCGAAGGTTGAGGTGATCGGGACGTGCAGCTCAACCTGAGAGTCCCTTCTCATGTTTACTCATTACTATAATATATATATATACATACATAGATATAGATAGATATATATATATATATATGTATATATATATATGTATATATATATATATAGATATGCGTGTGTGTTTGTATGTGTTATACTTAAAGCCCTTTTAAACCCTTTTTAAGCCGTAAAAGTTTCGAGAGCCTCCACCATGTTTGCCGTGGAGAGGAGTACGAGTGGAAGGCCGCCGGCTATGGGAACAAAGCCAGCGAAGTCGCCAAGGCAGTTTGAGTTTCGGGTTTGGGGTTTAGGGGTTTTGGGGTTTAGGGTTTAGGGGTTTAGGGTTTAGGGGTTTAGGGGTTTAGGGGGGGGTTAGGAGTTTAGGGGTTTTGGGGTTTTGGGGTTTAGGGGTTTAAGGGTTTAGGGATTTAAGGGTTTAGGGGTTTGGGGCTTTTGCCCGTGGAGCGGCAGCTTGAAGGGATAAGCCACGAGGTCGGACCAGCGTCGGGGCTGCTAGAGGACTTCCACATGCCAGCACTTCTCTCTTGTGGCTGCGCCTGCAAACTTACTAGCGCCACTACTACAACTATTGTTGTTGAATATTGTTGGGATTGTCGTGATGATGATTGTTACTCAGAATGCCCAGAGCTGTAGCCCTAATTTAGATAAGCAACTTACCTCGGGTGAGGCCGCCCCACCACGTAAGAGTCCCAGAATGGGTTTAGGGTTTAGGGTTTAGGGTTTAGGGTTTAGGGTTTAGGGTTTAGGGTTTAGGGTTTAGGGTTTAGGGTTTAGGAGGTCACAGGGCCAGATGATATGGGGTGGCTGTGCCTCGTGGTCACTAGTACTGTCACTGTTAAGTCGCACTCTTGCACTTTATGTAAACAAAACTGAATTCCTAAGGAGACTACAGTAGGGCTATACGAGGGCTCAGCCAATCTACTACTCAAGCACTGTCTTAAAACTCCTGAGACCCGAAACAGTGGCACATCTGTGTACCTCCCGTCAGTGCGGCGCATGAGTCAGCTACAGAAGACGCAGTCCCAAAGTGTGGACCCGGATTGCTTAGTCCGTTCTAATAAGAGTCTACAAGGGGGTACGTTAAGTCGTGTCTTCTTGTGCAAAGTCGTATCTCGGGCGCGTGCAAACTGGGGATTCGCGGATCCCAAGATGGTCAGAGCCCACTGCACCCCCAAGTAGAAATCTCATTCACGACAACACCCCTACTCCCAGAACGTCCAACCCTAGGTTGGGAGCCCCTGGTTTAGGGTTTAGGGTTTAGGGTTCAGGGTTTAGGGTTTAGGGTTTAGGGTTTAGGGTTTAGGGCCTTGCTGTTGGTGGGCGCAGAATGTGCCTCAACCCAAAATACCACCACACAACCTAGAAAGAAACTTGGTATCCCTATGGTGCCCTTTTGCCTTTCTCTTGGTTCCCGAGTTTCCCAAAAAAGGGAGCCAGCCAAAAAAGCGTGCACCCTTATTACGATATGGTTACTGGGCTAGCAAGGAAATCTTAAGAACTCTAAGCCCCTAAAACTGGCTGGTTCTTAGTAGGGAACTAAACCCTAAACCCTAAACCCTAAACCCTAAACCCCAAAATGTCGTGAAGAGGTGATGAAGCTCGACGTGCGAGGCCTCGAAGGCAAGGAACTCCCCGCCCCCACCAGTTGTGAGCGGTTTTTGGTTCAGGTTAAACCCTAAACCCTAAACCCTAAACCCTAATCCCTAGGTTAGAACCGTGAACCCTCTGTAGAGTTTCCGTCCGAAGGCTTTATGCTCTAAACCCTGAAACCCTATACCCCTAAACCCTACACCCTGAACCCTAACCCTAAACCCTACTGTACAGTGTGGCCACCACCCAGCTAGTCAGGTATACCCCCACTTAGTAGCCCGTTTGACTTAGCCAGGAGGGTTAGCCAGGTGCGTTCTGGGGAAGGCAATAGGGGTTCTAGGGGGTCCTAAACCCTAAACTGGCCCTAAACCCTAAACCCTAAACCCTAAACCCTAAACCCTAAACCCCTGAGTAGACTTACTAAGTCAAAAGAGCTTAGACACTATAAGCCTACTTGGCCTCCCTCCCCCTGCAGGCCCTCGACTGACAGTGCATCGCTGGATATCGTGGTGCCTCGCCTCAGCTAGGGTTTTAGGGTTTAGGGTTTAGGGTTTAGGGTTTTCAGGGTTCAGGGAGTTCAGAAAGGGAGTTTGGGCACCCTAGGCTCTACGTCCTACTGGTAGGGGGAAGGCATACCCAGCCAGGGTTGGGGTTTGCGGTTTAGGGCTTAGGGTTTAGGGCTTTAGGGTTTAGGGTCTGACCAAAGATCCGAACCACAAAGGTGCACCCTCAACGCTAAACCCCAAACAAAGTTATAGTTGTCAATTTGGCCTTGGTATACCCCGATATGCTCCATATTGCAACCTCCTGGGCTAGTAAGACGTGGCCCACCCAAACCCCGAACCGGGAACTCAAAACCCGTTGCCCCGGTTTAGGGTGGTCGTATACCCCAACCCCATATAGTGGGTATGGGATAGGGGAAACCCTAAACTGGAAACCCTACATTGCGAACTGAAGGTCCCAAGGTTCAGGGCCCTTTGTGGCCCAGCAGGGCAACCCCCCCAAACCCTAGGGTTTAGGGTTTAGGGTTTAGGGTTTGGGGTTTAGGGTTTAGGGTTTAGGGTTTAGGGTTTAGGTGTGCCTCGCCTGGCTTGTCCCGAGTGAGAGCGATGAAACGCTAAGCGGTGGGTTGAATTTTCAGCTGCGTTTAGTGGCACGCCTGCAACATCTTTCCCAGTATGTTCCCTGCAGTGTGTCGGAGAGGTCAGTGAGGCAGGTGGCAAAAGATGCAAACTTTTGCAACAGTCTTGCCACTTCGCCCAGAGAGCCCTAAGCCTAAACCCTAAACCCTAGCCCGAAACCCTAAACCCCAAAGCCCGAAACCCTAAACCCGAAACCCTAAACCTAAACCCTAAACCACAAAGCAATAGCCCTACGCAATCAAGCCGGACAGGGCCGGCTTCGACTCCCTGATTGGCGTCGTCATCATGGCCAACGCTGGGAGTCCCGGTGGAGTTCCTTCCGGGCGCCGTAGCGGGTTTGGGGGTTTAGGGATTTAGGGTTTGGGGTTTGGGGTTTAGGGTTTAGGATTTAGGGTTTAGGGTACAAGTCTTCAGGGGCTCAAGGTTTGGCGCGCTTTTTGTGGGTTTTAGGCTCCCTTATAAGCCCCTTCAAACCAAGGTTGTTCTTGGGTCTAGAAACCCCGAAACCCCAAAGCCGGGCCCGCAGTGCTGCCCTAACCCCTGCAGCACCCAAAATCCCAGAGCTCTTGCCTCACATCCCACTTCATCCCGAATAAAAAAACAGACCCTCAAAACCCGAAAACAAAACTCAACAGCCCGAAAACCCTGTAAAACCCCTACAGCCCTGAGTAAAACCCTGCAGTAGTCACCATGCGAACACAAGACCAACCCGATTGAAATGCTAGCTGGCTAGCTCAAACCCTAAAGCTCCGCCCTAAAATCCTACAACCCTGAACCCTGAATTTCTCCCCATAAAGTCAAGGGATTAGGGCTCGGTCCCCTAAGGTTGTACCCCTAAGAGATTCGCCTTACTAACACTCCCAATATGGCTCTTATATTCCCTTAGAGGATCCTTTACAAGGGTTCCCAGCACCCAACGGTACAACCTTGAGGGTCCAAGGTACAGCCCCTAGAACATAATCCCTTAAACCCTAAACCCCCAAACCCTAATTAAACCCCCCCAAAACAACCTGTAAGGTTCCAAGGTAGAATCCCTAGCTAAACCCCGAAACCCTAAACCCCTCAACCCTAATCAACCCCCTCCCCCCCCCCCAACAAAAAAAAAAAAAAACCTTTAAGGTTCCAAGGCAGAACCCCTAGAGAAACCCCTAAAGTTTCGGAGCGCCCGGCATCAAACTCCACCCGGGGGCCCAAGACCGCCCTGGAAGGCTGCGACGATCGGCCTGGAGGTTGGTTTCGGGTTTCGGGTTTAGGGTTTAGGGTTTAGGGTTTAGGGTTTAGGGTTTAGGGTTTAGGGTTAGGGTTAAGGTCAAAAAGGGTTTAGGGTTTTAGGTTTTAGGGTTTAGGGTGCTTTCCTGGCGAAGGGAGACGGGCCCAGGAACAAAAACGAGCTTAGGGTTTTTATATAATCTAGGGGTTCTACCTTGGACCCTTAAGCTTGTACCCTTGGGTTTTGGGGTCCCCTTTTAAAGATCCCTAGGGGAATATAAGGGCCATATTCGGAGAGTATTAAGGCGAAGCTTTAGGGGTACGACCTTACGGGTACGAGTCTTCATCCCTTGAATTTAGCAAGGCTGGGCTGCGATTGGAGACGAGGACTTACCCAGAGAGCCCAAACCCTAAACCCTAAACCCTAATATCCCTTAATGAAGGAATAGACCTTAAACGATAAAGGGGTCCTTAATCTGATTCAAGGTGTTTTCCTTCTCTAAAGGATATTGGGCTTTTTGGGTAAGTTTTCGGCGTGGATGGGGTTGTGCATTGTTGATGTGCCCCTGAACCTTATAAGCCCCAGGCCTGAGGTCCTGAAAACCTAAACCTGAAACCCTAAACCTTAGGCCTTGAGGCTCTGAAACCCTAAACTTGAGGCCTGAAGCCCTAGACCCTAAACCTCAGGCCCTGAAGCCCTGAAACCCTACACCCTGGACCCTGCCAATTTAAGGCCCAACTTGGGCCTTGCCGACGAATTTCATGAAGGTTTAGGCCTTGCCGAGGAATTTCATCAAAGCTTAGCCCAAATTGGGCCTTGCCGACGAATGTAAGGCCCAACTTGGGCCTTGCCGACGAGCCCAAATTGGGCCTTGCCCAAATTCGTCGGCAAGGCGCATTTTGGGCCTTGCCGACGAATTTCATTAAGGTTTAGCCCAAGTTGGGCCTTGCCGAAGAATTTAAGGCCCAAATTGTGCCTTGCCGACGAATTTCAGGCCCGACAAGGCCTGTTCTGACCCTTGCCGACGAATTTCATTAAGGTTTGATAAACCTTCATGAAATTCGTCGGCAAGGCGACTGGCCTTGCCGACGAATTTGAGTAAGGTTTTAAACCTTCAGGAAATTCGTCGGCAAGGCTCAAATTGGGCCTTGCCGACGAAATCATTAAGGTTTAAATGTAAATAAATAAATAGCTATATATATATATATATATGCATCTCTGTCTCTCTCTCTCTCTCTCTCTCTGTGAAAGAGGGGCTTAGGGTTTAGGGCGTGGTGGTCCCGCAGCAGGCCCACTTCAACGCCTCTCTGCCAGTGGGTTGCACTGGGAGATGTGCCGCTCGGCATCGGTTCATGGGTACTTGGAGGTTCCGGGGTGCTTATTCTCCCACTTATAACTGTTTAGGGTTTAGGGTTTAGGGTTACTTACAATGTACTTCTAACCAGATCAGGGCACTTAAGGGGCTTATAAGTGGGTGATAAGAACAGTCATAATTGGTTCATAAATACCATGGACCTCCAAGTACTGTAGCTATAAATACTTGTAGGCTTGTTTACAAGTATACCTATGGGGTGGCCAAAGAAAACCGCGTGGCCGATGGGATTCAGAAGGATATCTCCCCGTACCTCTCAGTACTTGATGCGCCCTTTACATTCCTACTCTACACCCTGACCCCACACCCTAAACCCTAAACCCTGTACACCCTAAACCCCCTTTCCCTTTTTCACCCATGAATAGCTCCTTGCTAGGTGTGCAGCGCCGACGTCGTCGACCCTTGTGCTCTTAGAGTGCACTCAGCGGGGGGACGGGGCATTGGGCTAAACCCCCGAAACCCTAAACGCCATAAACCCTAAACCTTAACCCTAAACCCTTAACCCTCAACCCTAAACCCTAACCCCCCTAAACCCCCCAAAACCCCCCTAAACCCCCCTAAACCCTAAACCCTAACCCCTAAACCCTAACCCTAAACCCTAAACCCTAAATCTTAAACCCTAAACCCTATAAACCCTAAACCCTAAACCCTACACACTTGGCAAGACATGCAACCCCCCTGCTTCCAGGAAGCGATTCCCCTGTGGCTGGCCAACGCCGACTATGCTTTCTTTGTGGCCTGTTGCTCAGAACCTCAGCATTAGGGTTTAGGGTGTAGAGTTTAGAGTTTAGGATTTAGGGGCTGTGTACCCTTTTTTTTTTTTGGGGGGGGGGGGGGGGGGTTATGGGTTTTCTCTTTGTCTGGCAGTCAGCATGTCCAGTTTCAACAGGGTTTAGGGTCTAGGGTCTCGGGTTCGGTATCAGACAAACTCCCTAGTTGCTTTCTTTTTACCATGTAATGCCGACAAATGATCAAAGCGATGATACGTAAACGTCCAAACTGCTAAACCATCCTAAGCCCTAGAGAGAAACAGGCGAGCAAAAAAAATGCTCGTTTTCTGGACTTTGGGTGCGAGGGTGCTTTACTGCTCAAGACCCAGGTGATAACCATGTGCGCAGCAGTTCGTGTCCTGGTTTATTGTGCGCCTGTGACCCGTAAAGCCGTCAAGACCCTCAGCCCGGTTCTGCTTGACATTTGTTGTTGCGCACCCTAAACCCTAAACCCTCAACCCTAAACCCTAAACCCTAAACCCCCCTAAACCCTAAACCCTAAACCCTTTTGCGTGACACCTGCGGACAGGGAACAAGATTCCCGGCTCCTTGAGGATAACTTGGGATGTCCCCCCTTATACGCACCGTCCTTAATCGGAATGATAGTAACCCCCTACACATTCTATGATAGTCCCTATAAAGGACGGTTAGTAAAAAGGGGGAACATCCCAAAAGATAACGCTGAGCCCCAAAACCCTCAACTTTCGACCAGGTCTATGTCGCAGAGCCCCTTGCCGGCATGGGCATGAAGTGTGCGAGGTGAAGGAAGTGTTCCGGTGTCTCTTCAGTTCGCAGGGCTCCAGATTCTCACCAGGAGGAGCCCCAGGCACGTTTGTATGCTACTGCCCTCGGGAAAGGCTCGGTCTTGGCAAGAGACTGCCTCATAACTCTTCGAAACCTGATATACTTGTGCCTTGCCAAGGTTTGCTATGAGATACTACGCCTATGGCAGAGCTGTGTTGCGCAGCAACTGGGTGAAGTTCGATCTCTTCCTGATCCTGGGCTGCAGATGTTCTGCTCGAAGGTTCATGGGTAGGGTGATGTTCGTACCCAGCTATAACCAAGTCTCGCCCCACAGGGAACCTTCGCAGAACCCCAGTGCTAGCCACCCATGAACCTTCAAGTGCCTGATGCAACGCACGCCAACCTTATGATCACTATCCCTTCCTGAGGGTCCATGTGGGTGGTTATCAGAATTGTGGCCCCTTTTTGGATCCCATTTATAGCACGGCACCGAATACTTAGGGCACCCCAGAAGGGAGCATAATTTTGACAACCACCCATGTACCTACAATACTATATACTTGAGCCCCCAAGCCACATGGGAGCCCCTTTAAGGCCAACAAGTATACACAAAATAGGCGCATGGCTGGCTGTAGGAAGACACCGTTTCTTGGAGACACAGTGCACATGGGGCCGAGAGAACAGAAATCCATGGCCCTAAGCCCTGAACCCTACCCTATAAACCCTTGACCCTAAACCCTAAACCCTAAACCCTAAACCCTAAACCCTAAACCCTAACCCCTAAGCCCTGAACCCTGAACCCTTGAACCTAAACTAACCTTGCAAATCGAGAAGTGCACCGTGCGACAAAAACAACAGCCTTTCTTGGGCTCAGGCTTCGGAGTGGTTTAGGGTTTAGGGATTAGGGTTTAGGGTTTAGGGTTTAGGGTTTAGGGTGGAGGAGAGGAAATCCAGCTCGCAGGATTCTGAGCAGCCTTGTAGACCTCACGCTGAAGCTGATCAATGCGCCTGGGTCTGATCCCACCCTAAATCCTTGGGACCAACATGAAACGATCATGTCAATGTAATTCTAGTCCCTTCAGGATCCTTTTCATGAGCCCCCCGCGAGATGTAGCCCCAGAATTTTTAGGGCTACCGCATGAGGACTGAGGAGGTCACTGATTCGGGGCTGCAACCCGAAACCGTGATACTGAATTGTCTTCAGGGGGGCGTTGAACCCTTTTGGCCTTAAGTCTTATACTCCCAAAGTGTCCAGAGTCAGTTCTGACATATTTGGGGCATCGTTTGGTCTGCGTGTTGAGGGGAGGGGGCATTGGTTTGGAACATTCAGGGGCTTTTTTTGTGCCTAAACTCGAAATGCCTGTCTCATGCGATGTGGACGTCGGTTCAGGCAGGCAGGTAGCAACCCTAAACGCTAAACCCTAATCAGCCCTCGAAAGAGCGCAAAGTGTGGGTCGTGTTTTTCAAGTTCCCTAAACCCTAAACCCTAAACCCTAAACCCTAAACCCTAAACCATCTTCCCTGTCAGGTGCAGAACGATCTACTGAACCAGGTCAGCTCCGACACCTATGAATAGAGACATCCCTATAACATCTATGTGAATAGCTATGTGAATATATATATATATGCTCACCCCCCCCCCATGATCTAGGTCGAAAGGCCTTTCGGGCCCATCGAAGCGAGATTTAAACCTAAGTCGGAATGAAAATTAAAAGGCCACTGGCCTCATTCGTAGTAATTTTTTTTTAGAAATCTAAATTTGCCAATTAAAAGCCGCACCCTATGAAATCCTCTTCTGGGGCCTGCCTGTCCGTAACAAAATCTCACAAGAGCTTTATATGCAGAGGTTACAGCCTCAGAAATCCTCATCTGGGCTTCCTGCCTATTTTATTGAGAAAATGCTTCTACATAAGAAGCCCACACCCTACGAAAAGAATTCTATACTTAAAGGCCACACCCTATGAAATCCTCTTCTGGGCCCTCTTAATGAAATTTCAGTAGACTTGTGTCTGATAAAGCCACAGCTTCGTTCGTAATTAACCCAAGTAAAAAAACATATTAAGAGGCCCAGCCCCAAGACATCCTCTTCTAAGCCTCATTGATTAATACCTATTTAGAACATTTTTGTTTTTCCCACACCCTGTGAAATCTTTCGCTGGCCCCATTCGTAATGAAACGCAATTTGATTTCATATTGTAAGCCCACACCCTAAGAAATCCTCTTCTGGGCTTCGTTCATAATTGAACCCAAGTAAAGCAAGTGTATATTCAGAGGCCAACCCCAGGACATCCTCCTCGCAATGAAACCGAGTTAGAATTCTATATTGCAGACCATACCCTATGAAATCCCTTTCTGGCCCCTATTTGTAATGAAGATTAATTAGAATTCTGTATTACAAAGCCACACGCCAAGAAATCCTCATTAGACCTTCGTTTGTAATTAGACTTATTTTCGATTTGCCAAGATGCTTGTATTAAAAAAAGCCACACCATTCTGGGGCCTGTTCGTAACAGAATCTCGTAAGAAGTTTATAATGCTAGGTAAGAAGCCCACACCCTAAGAAGTTCTGACCTAGGCTAGGTTCGTATGTAACTCTTGGACAGAATTTTATATCATGAGCCCCCTTCGTATTTGAATGTACTTACAATTCCATATTTAACCGCTAGACCCTATGAAATCCTCTTCTGGTGCCTATTAGTGAAATGTCAATAGACTTGTATATGATAAAGCCATAGCTTCGTTAGTAAATTAAACCCAAGTCAAACAAACAAATTAAGAGGCCCCGCCACAAGACATCCTCTTCTAAGCTTCATTGGTTAATACCTATTTGGAATTCTATTTTGCAGACCACACCCTATGAAATTCTCCCCTGGCCTCGCTTCATACTACAATGTTATTTGAGGTTTGTATTAAAACGCCACACCCTAAGAAATCCTCATCTGGACTCGTTTGGAATTCCACTTAAATTGAATTTTAAGTTTAGAGGCCACACCCCTTTGGACAGAATTTAAAAGGCCACACCCTAAGACCTGTGTATGGTAAAGCCACAGCTTCGTTCGTAAAACCAAACCAAGTAAAACAATTAAGAGGCCACGCCCTTCTAAGCCTCATTCGTTACTACCTCTTTGGAATTTTATTTTACCGACCACACCCTGTGAAAGTCTCCTCTGGCCCCGCTTCGTAATGAAATGTAATTTGAGGTTTGCACTAAAACACCACGCCCTAAGAAATCCTCAACTGGACTTCCTTTGTGATTCCACTTAAATAGACTTTTAAATTAAGAGGCCACACCCCAAGACATCCTCTTCGAAGCCCCACTCTTTTTTAAGTCCAATTAGACTTTTGAATTGCGGGTCCACATCCTCAAAAGAACCACACCCTAAGAAACCCTCTCTATTTCTTTTGTTATTACTTTTCATATTAGACGCCACATCCCAAGACATCCTCTTCTAAGCCTCATTCGTAATTAAATCTAATGGAACTTTACATGTTAACGCCACGCCCTGCATACCGAATAGGCTGAATTGAAAAAAAACGAATGGTGGGTGTGTTTGTGTGCTTTTCTCTGTGTGTGTGCAAGGCAGTCACATTAGCAGAAACAACGTATAACAATACACATTCTTTATACAAGAAAAGCATTTTTTTGCAAAATTTGCTAAAAAAAACCCAAAAATCCAAAAATCCAAAAATCCAAAAACTCAAAACCATGGAGCCGGGAGGCCGCCTTTTTTGGATTTTTTGGTTTTCTCGAGGTTTTTTTGGTTTTTTTTGGAAAAATCCAAAACAAAACCATGTTTTTTTTTGGATTTTACTTGCTCCTGGCCTCAAAAACCTAAAAACACATGGTTTTTTTTGGATTTTGAGTGAAAATCCAAAAAAAACCATGTGTTTTTTTAGTTTCTGAGACCAGGAGCACCTGAAATCCAAAAAAACACGAGGGTTTTTTTGGATTTTCACTCAAAATCCAAACAAAAACCATGTGTTTTTTAGGTTTTTGAGGCCAGGAGCAAGTAAAATCCAAAAAAAACCATGGTTTTTTTGGATTTTTCCAAAAAAAACCAAAAAAACCTCGAGAAAACCAAAAAATCCAAAAAAGGCGGCCTACCGGCTCCATGGTTTTGAATTTTTGGATTTTTGGATTTTTGGATTTTTGGATTTGTGTCAAAATTTGCAAATTCTGCAAAAAAGAAGTGTTTTTTGCATACAATTCTGTGTTTATAAGCCTGTCCTATGCAAATAATTCATAGACATGTTTACCAAATTGCATTTTCCTGTGTTTTTGGGGTGTTTTTTTATGTGGTGATGTGGAAGTAGTGCTAAACACACGCGTTTTTCACTATTTACAGGTTTTCTCGCATAGGACTAGACGTGCAAAAACAGGACATCGCCTAGCATAGCCAGCATGTCATTTTAATCGGTATTTACGAGGGTTTTTATAGGGACAAAGCAAAACCTAGATCATGGGGGGGGGGGGGTGACCATATATATATATATGTATGTATATATGTATATATGTGTATAAAAATATAAATATATATATATATATATACATGTGTTTATATACCTATATATCAATGAATAAATCAACAAACCAATAAACAATAAAATCAAGATATATATATATATACTAGCATATACATACACACACACACATATATATACACACTAGTATGTGGGGTTTCCGAGGGTCTTTTCGAGGAGTACTCTTCAGACAGCTTTAAGGACCAGGTTGACAAGGACTACGTACTAGGTTACACCAGCACCCAAGACATGCATGGGTTTAGGGTTTAGGGTTTAGGGTTTCGGGGTTTAGGGTTTCAGTGTTTAGGGTTTGCCGGGGAATAAGAACATGACACGCCCAAGTGACGAAACTCCGGAAGCTCTGAACTCCTGCGGGGAGAGAGGTGTGTTCAACATGTAGAGCTTGTCGTAGACGCCAGATATTTCCAAACGGAGCAGGAGCACATATAGAAAAAGGTGCATCACGCAATTGCAGGTCATGCTTGTCCGGATACTGCGCCTCTTGCGCCTGGCACGCGCAGTGCGCGGCTGTGACTGATTTTATAGGTTGTAAGCTTGAGGTGTCGGGTACCCTACAGCATCTAGCCGTCCTGGGTTTAGAAAAGGGTTTTCTGCAAGATTGTTTACTTGTTGCTTTGGTTTTTCGAGTGGGCTCTTCAGGATTCAGTTCAGTTGCTCCGGCGCTGGGAGAGAGGCTGAGGGTGTAGGGATGTTTAGGGTTTCAAGATTCAATGGTTAGGGTTTCGGCTTGTAAAGTTGCAGGTCTGCGGATGCAGTTTCTATACTTCACAAGATTTGGGGGCAAAGATCCCGAGACCGTACTTAGGGTGTTTGGTGCTTGAGGTGGCTAAGTTGATGTAAATGGCTGTAAGGCTCACCTATCTGCGTCAGTGATGTGGGCTTGTGGCAGCCTTCACGTGCCATGAGCTGGGGTTTAGGGTCTAGGGTTTCCTCTTGGCTAGGAGGTCTTCTTTCTTCACTTAGGGTTTAGGGTTTAGGGTTTAGGGCTGCCATCCCCAGGCCTAGTCGTCCTGTTCCAGACGCTGTGGCAGCTGGTGCAAGGGCTTCTGCACAGCGCCACTTGGTCTCGGTCGCCTCGGACCCGAAACCCTAAACCCTATGTGAATGAGGGTTTAGGGTTTAATGGTACTTATTCACCAAATTAAAACTGTACCTATAACTGTGCTTATAGGGAACAAACGAAAAAGCACCAAAGCCGAAGCCCAAAAGCGCGCCGCATGTCAACCCCCTTTTCGCGAGGTGACCACGTTGTTCTGGACCTTCCTTCTGGTGATGCCCCCCCGGTGGCAGAGTAAGGGTTTTAGGGTTTTAGGATTTTAGAATTTTAGGGTTTAGGGTTTAGGATTTTAGGATTTTAGGGTTTTAGGGTTTAGGGTTTTAGGGCTTAGGATTTAGGATTTTAGGGTTTTAGGATTTTCGGGTTTAGGGTTTAGGGTTTAGGGCTTGGGGTTTAGGGCTTGGGGTTTAGGGTTTAGGGTTTGGGGGGTTTGAGTACGTGGCCTTTGTGGGCAGTACGCCCCGATGATGGCAGAGGCGAAGGCATCAGCTTGGCGCGAAGTTGAGGCTTCATTGCCATGATTTGCCCTAAACCCTAGAACCTAGAACCCTAAACCCTAAGCCCTAAACCCTAAACCCTAAACCCTAAACCCTAAACCCTAAACCCTAAACCCTAAACCCTAAACCTAACCCTCAAAGCCCTACAGCCCCTCCAAAGACAACAGAAACCCATGCATGCCCCCCCCCCCCCCCCCCCCCCAAAAAAAAAAAAAAAAAAAAAATCCTGCGACCCCCACAGCGCCAAAACAGCTTCACTTACTCCTCATAAACGGCGTGCTTCGAGGCTCATGGGTAGTTCTATGTAGGGTTATATGTACCCTAAATGAGACTACTCATGTGTATCTATAGCACTATGGCCAGGTAAAACTACCCATGAGCCTCCAAGCACCAGTAGATCCAGTAAACAGGCGTAATTCTTGGTTTTGTGGGGTCTGCCTCCGAGCAAAGGGATGTTTAGGGTTTAGGGTTTAGGTTTGGCTTCGGTCAGCTCGGCGGGTGACAGAAATAGCTTGTCAAGGATCCTGATTTACATCTTCGCCATCATCGGCATGGAGCAACTCGGTGTTCCCCAAAAGCCGAGACTTGTGCTATGGGCCCAGATACGGGTTCAACCTCCCCTAACTACTCGTCCAGTAGGGCTACTGTACTCGAAACTCTGGTAAAGAGGCCCTTTTGCGACTTTATGTTACTATTTGCTGTAGACCCCCAAAAATTTAAAATAATAATCCCTAAATTTTTCCTTGCCAGGAAGGTATTTTTCGTTTTTGGGTGTTCTTAGGACAGTGGGATGGGGGGCGCCAGTTTTGTCGGTAGAAACGGGCATCCAAAGCCGCCAGCCCTAAAAAACCGTAACCTCTTGTCGGTGAGCCTGCGAAGGTGTCGGTGTGAAGTAGCAAGGCCAAAAGCACACTGCGTTTGTTAAACTTAAAACCCTATATACCCCAAAGCCTTTAGGGCAGAACTCACAACCACGCAATGGCTTGCAAACCCTAAACCCTAAACCCTAAACCCTAAACCCTAAACCCTAAACCCTAAACCCTAAACCCTAAACCCAGGTTCATTGCTGAGGACCCAGACCTCGACGCAAACCACGAGCAACCCGGGCATCAGTCTGCTTTGCCGTGAGTTCTCCCGGTCCGAGTGCGCTTTCGGGGAGAGGGTTTAGGGTTTAGGGTTTAGGGTTTAGGGTTTAGGGTTTAGGGTTTAGGAACTTACTCCCCTACACCCTAAACCCTAAACCCTGCTGCAAACCTGTGCTTCCTTTCTACGGAGTTTTTTGGTTCATGGTGGGCCCATTGCTCACACATAAGTTTCTGCGAGCTGCGAGTCGAAGTAATAATGAAGGTGTTGCCACTGCTGTGCGAATCTGGGTTGGCCGCTTTGCTACGCTTGTTTGGAATTGAAAAAGTGTCCCTAAACCCTAAACCCTCAAGAACCCAAAACCTTCCCTTTTTTGCAGGCTCCTATTCTCAGACCCCTTATGAGGTTCTTGGGTGACCTACAAAGAAGTAGGTTTTGGGGTTCTTAAGATAAATGCATTTTGTGGTGCTTTACTGTAACTTTAGATCCTTAGCCTTTTTGGGTCTATTGGGTTTCTTAGCACAGCAGCCAAAAAAATAATTTCTAGCTACCCTTCTGAGTGCAGCCACAGCCGACTCCATCACCCCACATGCCTCAAGGTACAATGTTGCGGCCAGGGAGAACTTCAGCAGGTTCGACGACTCCTGGCGCGGAATGGGATGGTGGCTGTGTGTTGCACCAGCCGCCAACAAAGCCGTTCAGTCAAACCCTAACAAAAAAACGCGCCAGACCGTAAACCCGGGCCCTGTTATGTATTGGTTTAGGGTTTAGGGTTTAGGGTTTAGGGTTTAGGGTTTAGGGTTGTACGTGTTTAGACGAGTGGAGTTTGCGAATTCGATGATGTAAGGCTTGTCGTTGATTGCCACGTCTGGCATTTGGTCTGGTCCTAGTCGCTGGAGTTTAGGGTTTAGGGCTTAGGGTTTAGGGTTTAGGGCCAATCCCCCCTCCCTCCCCGCCGAGGATGCCATCATGACGTTGTTGCAGATGTTCAGCATGGATAGCATTGGCCCCTTGGTCTTGAATTGGGGTCCCTTTCCTGTGTTGCAAGGGAAGTACAGTTAGCTAGAAGAAGAACCTCCTCCGACTCGGGTTGAAGTGTCTCGGTTTTAGAGATTTTGGTTGAATCATGTTGAATCTAGGGCTTCTGGGAGCAGAGGGGGGGCGGAGTGTGGAGGGGGGGGGGGGCATTTCCCATGACGGACTTGCTTTGTGTACTTTGTTTCCGGCTTCCCGCGGCCGCCAAAGATCCCTCCCCCTACCCAAAGAGTCCTAAGCACCCTGATAGTAGAAAGTAGGGCTTCTATAAAATAGGATTACTATTCTGGTTTGGGTAAGTGTCCCCCCAAGATAGGTACTTAGGACCCTTTAAACTAGCTTGCCTTTTAGCTTTGTATTTCCTACTACAGATTCCTAAACCCTAAACCCTAAACCCTAAGCCCTAAACCCTAAACCCTAAACCCTAAATGGCTCTTCATGCTCGATGCTCCGAATTGCGTACCCGGCCTCATGACCTCATGTCACATGACCCTTTTTCTTGACTAGCAAGGTGCCATCTACAGGCCGTTGATAAAGCATCGGTTGCTTGGCACGGCTTGGTGTAGGGTGTAGGACGTGTGGAGTTTTCACGAGGTGTTTGAGGGAGCGCGCCATTTCGGTAGCTTGGCGGTGGGGAAGGTTCGCATTGTGAATGGGGCTTCGGTATGTTCCGCCCTGTTGCATCTGTGGTGGGACAGGGTTAGGATCTAGGATTTCGGGTTTAGGGTCCCTAAACCCTAAACCCTAAACTGGGGTGCAAAGTGTCTTCAACTGTGTTGGGCCGCCTGCGCGCAGGTGCCTATCAGGTGCTGGGGTGCTGGGTCAAGACATGCCCCCCCCACATGGGTACAGTGTGGGGATCGTTGACGGTTCAGCCCTAAACCCTAAACCCTAAACCCTAAACCCTAAACCCTAAACCCTAAACCCTAAACCCTAAACCCTAAACCCTAAACCCTAAACCCTAAACCCTATTCGGTTGCTATAGACCCCTTTTTTCGCAAATCAAAGGTCAACCTTGCCCTCCCTCATTTCGCGTTTATGGGGTTATAGTATCGGATTGTGGCTGCAGGGCTTAGGGTTTAATTTAGGGTTTAGGGTTTAGGGTTTAGGGTTTAGGGTTTAGGGTTTAGGGTTTAGGGTTTAGGGGGTTCCAATGTTGTTGATCGGTATGATCTGACAAGAACCTTAGGGAAAAAAACCAGCTATGCGGGGGCCAAAAGAAGCCTTTGAAAACAAACATACAAGAAGTACACAGGGTTCAGGTAGACTCTAGACCTCATCAAGCAGGACGTCTGCAAACGCCAGGTTTGCCACCTTCTTCTACTTCATGACGCATGGCATCACAAGTTTCCCAGACCGGAGAGGATCCAAAAGTAATTCGCCTTTAAGGGTTCGGAAGAATGACCCATTGGTAGTATATGGTACTATATTGGGGTACTACTTTTTGGATCCTCCTAGGGGTCTGCGTTTGGGTGCTAGGGACTTTTGAACAGGCTGGCTTTGGGTGCCGTGTCATGGCGCACAACTCCAGGCCCTGACGACCTCAAAAACTAGAGTTTAAGCCCCCAAAGGTCCCAAACCCTGAAGCCCGAAACCTTGAACCCTCAAACCCTTCACACCCTACCTCCCGGTCCCTAAACCCTAAACCCTATACCCTATACAATAACCCTAAACCCTAAACCCTGAACCCTGAACCCTGAAACCCTAGACCCTAAACATCCCGCAGCACAATGTTTAGCACTCGCGGGCCGGAACGTTTGGAGCTCGGAAACTGCTGACTTCAGCCTATACAAGGAACCCCCCCCCCTACAAGAACCAATCAAGACAACAACAACAACAACAGCACTTCTACGAACAAAACGTTTAGATAGTGGTAACAAACATGTTACAGATATAGTCATACATATACATCCATAAATAAATATATATATATACACACATAAATCGATTATATATATATATTTATTTATTTATTTAGTTGTCTATTTATTTATTTATTTATTTCTTTGTTTATTTGTTTATTTATTTATTTATTTATGTATTTATTTTTATATATGTATATATTTATTTATTTATATTTTTTATTTAGATTTAGATAACTTTATGTCTATCTTTCTTCATCGTTACAGCAAGCATTTGCGTAGCCGGACCCTTTGGGGAAGCCTCGGACCCGCCATGGCTGCGCTCCGGCTGGCCCTGGCCCTGCTGCCCTGCGCCCTGGAAGGCAAGCTGTTGAATCTGGTCCGCAGAAGGGCTTAGGGTTTAGGGTATGAAGTTTAATTAGGGCTAGGGTTTAGGGTTTAGGGTTTAGGGCTAGGGATTAGGGTTTAGGGTTTAGGGTTTAGAGGTTAGGGTTTGGGGTTTAGGGTTTAGGGTGTGTTCACCCTAAGACCTATGAGCCCTTTAATCAGCATGGAACGCTATGCGCCCTGAATCCCCAAACCCTGAATCCCTAAACCCTGAATCCCTAACCCCCAAACCTGACTGATGGAACCCCAAGCCTCAAAGCCCTAAAGAACCCTAAGCCAAAGCTTGGGCTCGTGTTGTTTGGTTCACAAAGGTAGGGTTCAGGCGGGTTTAGGGTTTAGGGTCTAGGGTTTAGGGTTTAGGGTTTAGGATTTAGGATTTAGGGAACCCTGAAAGCCCCAGAACCTCCCACAAATTTCCGGAGTAAAGCCCAAGAACTCCGAAAACCCCAAACCCTAAGCCCCTGAACCCCAAGAACTGCCTAACACTGGAATCCAGGAGCACAGTCGTCCTGCCGCATGGGGACTTCGCCTACGACCCCAGTTTGGTGAACCGCTCTGGTGCGGATTGAGGGTTCAGGGTAATTTAGGGTGCCCCCGAAACTTCCGGTGTACAGAGCACTCAACTCAGGCCCTGCTTGAACACAGGTCTAATAGCTCTTTGTCCCTGAACACGAAACCATTGAAACGGACATCTTCTTAAGACCCTAAGCCCTAAACAAACATGTCGGACTCTACCTCTTAGGTTCGAAGCGGCAGCCTAACCCCTCCACCCTAGACTCCGCGAACCCGCTTTTAAGACCCATAAACCCACTATAAGCCCCGTAAGAACCCCACAAGAACCCCTGAGCCCCACAACCCTCAATGAACCCCAGGCTTCCCCTCAAACCCACGTGCCCTAAACCCTGGGTTTAGGGTTTAGGGTTTAGGGTTTAGGGTTTAGGGTTTCGGGAAACCTTACACCCTGAACCCCGAAACCATCGAAACCCTACCAGCCCTACATAGGATTCCTGAAACCCCACAAGAAACCCCAACACGGCCCCTAAAAACCCACAAAGCCCGAAGCCCCAAACTCCAAATACTAAAAGCCCTAAGCCCTAAGCCCTAAAACCAGCCCCCCCCCCCCCCCCCCCCCCCAAAAAAAAAAGAGGCCTAAACCCTAAACCCTAAACCCTAAACCCTAAAGCCTAAACCCTAAACCCTAAACCCTAAACCCTAAACCCTAAACCCTAAACCCTAAACCCTAAACCCTAAACCCTAAACCCTGCAGGCGGCTCCGTGGAGCTCCATGCGGCAGCCTTGAAGCTGGGGCGCGCCGTCTCGCAAGCGGCCCCGGAGCCCTTAGGGTTTAGGGTTTAGGGTTTAGGGTTTAGGGTTTTACGTTTACGAAAATAGGGGACCCCCAATACCCACAAGAGGAGCCTAGAAATAAACAGGGTGCCCTTTTTGGTTTACAGGAGCTTAGAAGGGAACCTGACACCCTAGAAAAAGGGGGCTTAGGGTCCTATGCTGGATCTTCACCAATGTGGGGGTTTACAAGCATAGGGGACCCTCCAATATCGATCTCCAATATTGTAGGATTCCCTTATGGCAAGGATCCCAATAAGGCACACCCTAACTTCGGAAACCCATGCCCCGAAGTCACAGCCCCCAAACCCGAAAAAAAGCTAAAGTGACGAAACCCTACACCCAGAACCCTGTACTCTGAACTCTACACCCTGAAACCTTGCCCTAAATCCTAAACCCCAAACCCCAAACCCTAAACCCTAAACCCTAAACCCTGAACCCTGAACCCTATAAACCCTAAACCCTAAACCCTCCACCAGGAGCTGCTCTTTGTGACGACGCCTCATGGACTCGAGCTGTCCAAGGAGTACCTCGCAGCTTGGCGTCTTCAACTGCTCCAAGTCCAAGGTCAGGGTTCAGGGTTGAGGGTCTAGGGTTTAGGGTTGAGGGTTTAGGGTTTAGGGTTTAGGGCTTGGGCAGTTTCTGGCAACACCCACAGGAGTCCGGATGCAAAAAAGGCTTTAGGGTTTAGGGTTCTTTGTGATGTTCCCCTTATACTAACAGTCCTTCATAGGGATGATACTAGGGGAGACTGTAATCCCTATTTAAGGACTGTTAGTATAAGGCGGAACATGCCAAGTTCTTCTGGTGGTTTAGGACTTGGAGGTTCATGGTACTTACTAACCAGTTATAGCTGTAGTTATAAGCCACTTATCAGCCCCTTAAGTGCCCCAATATGGTTGTAAGTTGTAAGTTCAGCTATAAGTACAGTTATAAGTGGTTAGCAAGTATCATGAACCTCCAAGTAGGGTTCATTAGGGTGGTGTAGGGTCGCATGATCTGCATGACGGGCCCGTCCGGGCCCTTAGCCTTAAATCCCAGGTCCTGGGCCCGAAACCAACCTGAACCCAGAGTGGACAGGCTTAGGGTTTAGGGTTCAGGGTTTATATAGGGGACAGAGCTGTCTGAAGGTGTACCTCAACAGCCACAACGCTGGAGCGTCGCCTCTCGACGACATGCCGCATGCTGCCGGGAACAGGACATGGCATGGGGTTGTTCTGCCTGCGCTGTGGTGGCTGTATCCCAAAGCCCTCTGGGGGTTTCCGAAAATAGGGGTCCGCTTTTCTGGGGTTACTTTAATTAAAAGGACTATATAGTATTTTGGGGTATATAAGGGGTACCCCTATTTCCGTAAACCCCACCTCAATTGTGGATTCACCGCTGACATGTGCCGCGATGGAGGACCGTTCCGATGAACTTCAGCAGCCCGCAAGACGTCGCCACTTTCCTGCAGCCTGCAGTTGATGTATAGCTACGAGCTTCTCAGAACCGAAGTGTGAATTATCCTGTAAACCCAGACCCCAACCCGAATCTCCCCAAACCCTAAACCTTAGGCTTGTGTTTGGGGACCACACGAATACCATGCCCCAACGCGACTTTGCTTGCGGGATCCGGCAGCATGCCCTTCCCCACCACGCCGCCTCTCCCTACAGGCCTTGTTGGTAGTTAAGGGTTGAGAGTTTAGGGTTTAGAGGCCAGGGGGGGAGGAATCCCCTAAATTCTAAAAACCCCAAAGGGTTTAGGGTTGAGGGTTGAGGGTTTAGAGGCCGGCGGGGGGGGGGGGGGGAGGAATCCCCTAAACCCTATAAACCCCTAAGCCCTGTCAGCCCTTTGAACCCTATGAACCCCTAACGAGCTAACCCCCAAACTCTAGAAACCAACCCCTAAGCCCTACAACCCTGAACCTTTTTCAAGGAACCCTAAATCCTGACTAAGGGCCTGCATAGGATCCCCTTGCTAACACCCATTTTTTGCATAAAAGGAGGGCACCCTTTTTTATGTGGTTCCTGGGCAGCCTACAGGGGGTCCCCTGTTGCAGAACCCTTACATACACTATGCAGAATAAGGGCCTCATGCTTCGGATCCCTTTAGAACCCCTTGAAACAAGGGTAAGGCACCATACTAAGGGCCCATGCTTCCAACCTTATCCAAGCTTCGAGCCTAGTACTCAGGGCCATAACCTCCTTTAACGGGTTCTGATGTATGGGCCCTGAAGTTGCACAGGGTATATACGGGGTACAGCAGGTGTACCCTTTTAAGGGCCCATACTAGGGGACCATGTAACTAGCCTTAGATAGTACGAAGGGCCTGGGATCCCATGGTTTGCCGTGGAGGCCAAACGTCTGCTCGGGCATTTGCAGGCGCAGCAGCTGCCAGTTGAGGGCCTGCAAGGCCCCCCCACTGACTAACCTTAAGCCTATAAACCCTATATAAACCCTGTAAACCCTGTAAGCTCTATAAACCCTATAAGCCATATTAAACCCTAAACCGAGGGTTTGGGGTTCGGGTTTCGCGCTCGAGGTTGGAGCGGATCTAGCCTCCCCCCAGGCTTTTAGGGAGCCTCCCTACTAAGCCTTAAACTTAGCGACTTCGTTGTATTCCTTGTAAGCTGCGGGGTACGGAGCTCTTTGGGATGAGGCAAATAGACACAGGTTTCTCGTCCAACGCTTGGCACGGATGCGTGGTAGGGTCTGGCTTAGGGGGAGAAGACGTACGCAAACATCCTTCAAGAGGACCCTCATCCGAGTGGTTGTCAGTCAGTCAAGAGGACCCTGAACCCTAAACCCGAAACCCTAAACCCTGCAAGGGTTCCGGGCTCGAGTGAGAGGGAACGCAGGCTTCTCCGACGCCCTGCCGCTGCCGATTTCTTGGGGCAGCTCGGTTTCATGAAGCCGACATGGCGTGCAGTAGAGGGTTTAGGGTTTAGGGTTTAGGGTGGTTGCTCTGCACGTGGCAAAAAACAGCCCGTGACCTTAGACCCGAACCCACGCCCCCACACCCTGGCAATTGGATCGGGGACTGCCAGCCTCCCCAACCTAAACCCTAAACCCTAAACAGCAAGGCGAGATCCTGCCCCTGAGCTTTGTACGCAAGGCGCGCGAGGAGACTTTTTGGCTGGGCGGAAAGGGCTCGGCTTCAAAGTGTGGAATTACCTCCTTTGAGTCCCGGAGTCTGGGGTTTAGGGTTTAGGGTTTAGGGTGTAGGGTTTATAAGGGTTTAGGGTTTAGGGTTTAGTTCGACTTGGTAGCCCAGTGGTACCCTTTTCTTTTTTTTGTTTCTGGGTTCCCTTATAAAGTAACCAACCCAAAAAGGGTGCCCCTTATGATATTAGAATATTATAATATTACAATATCATAATATCATAATATTATAATTTTATGATATGATAATATTATAATGTTATAATAATATAATGTTGTAATATGGTGACTGGGTCTACCAAGTCGAAGGTTTGGAGGTTGGGTTTGTAGGGTGACAACCCAAGGGGGCCCGCTGAAGCCCTTAAACACCTATCGGCCCCGTAAATCCCACACACCCGATGAACCCCATAAACCCCATACCCATAAGTCCCGTACACTCCAGAAACCCCATCAGCCCTATAAAGCCCCATACGCCGCATGAACCCTTACTGGAAGCTCTTGTGACTAAACCCTATATAACCCTAAACCCTGAGTCAACCCGAAACCCTAAGCCCTAAACCCTTCAAAAGGGCTTCCAAATATAAGCCTGATGCGAGGAGGAGGGCCTGGAGCTGCCACCCGTGTTGCTCATGTCCTTTCCCTTGCGGCGCCTGGGACGTGCAATGCCGGAGCTACAGACTTGGACCTCCAAAGCTGCACCCTAAACCCTAAACCCTAAACCAAGCTCCGCAGTCCCTCAACCCCCCATTTCCCCCCCGCCCCGCGCCCACAAGAAGCAACAAAACGCATCCGCCCATGCGCGCCACATGGTCACTTTTCTAAAGGAGGATCCCCTCTGGGCTTTGCCCCTTGTATACCCCCTTAAACCAAAAAGGGCACCTTCTTATTCCCTAGGCTACGCTTGGGTCTAAGGGGTTATGCAGGGCACCCTTTTTGGGTTACTAGTATAAGGCGGCCCCTCATATTTAGGGCAGCCAAAACGGGACAATCATCTTGAGAACTGGCCACATAAACCCAAGGGGCTAAAGGAGGGACCCTTGGGGGTTATTTAGGGGCTACTTGGGTATATAGGGTTTAGGGTTTAGGGTTTAGGGTTTAGGGTTTAGGGTTTAGGGACTATGTAAGGTATATGAACTCCGTAGCCCTTGGCAGGCTTCGTTCTGGCTTTTTAGCCTTGAGGATGAAAACCTTGGCCCAAGCCCTAAACCCTAACCCAGAGAGCCCAATACCCCTTAACTAAGGAATAGACCCTCAGAGGATAAAGGGATCCTAAATATGATTCAAGGTATTGCTTCAAGGTATACTCCTCATGTAAGGGGTCCTTACGACCCCAAACCCTAAGCCCAACACTCCACACACCAGCACTCCACCCACTAGCCCTAAACCCTAAACCCTAAACCTGTTTTTGTTTAATACTGAGGCGGTTCAACCACTCGGACACCATGGTCCCCGAGCCGTGCGTGCAATGATCTTAGAAGCTTTTGTGAGTATAGGGGTCGGAATAATTACTAACAGTATTCCCTTTAGGTTCCTTTATAAATATACCATAACAACCCCCAAAGACCTGTTCTAATTATTAAGGCCCCTATAGTAGAGGGTTTAGGGCGAAGGGGAGCCGCCCTACAACCTCAACACTAGACCCACAACGGATTTCATTGGGCTGTTTGGCTTGAGTGCTGAATATCCCGATGCAGATTGGACGCAGGCCATACTCCGGGGAATTTCCGAGGCTACCGGATGCTCGCGTACCGTGGATTGAGGTTACAGCTTATTTTGCGGCTGTATGCCACATGGCCTGCCATGCACCATATGGGGGTCCAAACCACAAACCCTAAACCGCGCGCACGACCACACCACCGCTCTTTAGCGAATAAGGAGCTCCTGAGCTTGGGCGCCGCCACGGCCACCTTTTTAGAGGCGCAAGGGGTTGAGGGTTTAGGGTTTATAGGGTTTAGGGCTTTAACTTCTAGGGGTCGTAGCACCTTTGGACAACACACACTTATAGCTTACTTGGCATTGTAGAGACCGAGACCTCTGTTAGGCATATAGGGGCCCTCAACGAGAGGGCTGAGGGTTGAAGAGTTGAGGGTTTAGGGTTTCGGGTGGGTTTAGGGTTGAAACATAGTACAGGAGTCTACATAGCGAGCACTGACCATCCGTACAAGACAAACTACAGTACCCCACGTACGCACTCTACTAATCGGCCCCGTTTGACCCAACCCTCAGCCCTACACAAACCCCATGAAACCCCTCTAAACCCTCCTTGACCCTCGACCCTGGGATGCTCCAAGCCGAGCTCGTCTTTCTTTTTCTATGCGAGTCAGGAAGGATTCGGTAAATGATAATTGTATGAGGCTATGGTCGAGGTTTTGGGTTCGTGGTCTGTGAGGTTCGGGGTTAAGCTGTGAGTTTACCGCAGCATAGGGCGCATAAGGCAACCCTTAACCCTAAACCCTGAACCTAAACCCTAAACCCTAAACCCTAAACCCTAAACCCTAAACCCTAAACCCTAAACCCTAAACCCTAAACCCTAAACCCTAAACCCTAAACCCTAAACCCTAAACCCTAAACCCTACACCCTAAACCCTAAACCCTAACCCTAAACCCGAACCCAGAATCCCGTAGAAAGAATCCTGCCACCGAAGGCTCTGCCCCAGCGAGTGGTGTGGATTGTCTCAGCGGACCTGGCTGCTGCACACCGGGGGGGGGGGGGGGTTAGGGTCTAGGGGTTAGGGTTTAGGTTTTAGGGTTTAGGGTTGGGGTTTAGAGTTTAGGGTTTAGAGTTAGGGTTTGTTTAGGGTTTAGCGTTTAGGGTTGGCTTACATCAGGTGTTCTTCGTTTCATCACACAAGCGTAAGGTTTACATCTGGTGGTCTGAGGTTTCGATTTCTTGTTCTTGGGCTGCTTTGAGGGCTCTGAGCATAAGACTCCGCCTCAAGGCCTAGTACCCCCCATTATAGTCCCTATTGAGGACTGCTCGTATAGGGGGAACATCCCAACTTGCAACGCCTCAATACCCGAAGACGCCGAAGTCCAGAGGCTTCCGTGCACCCCGGCCCTATTCCTTATAGGTTTAGGGTTTAGGGTTTAGGGTTTAGGATTTAGGGCTTAGGGCTTAGGGTGCACCCCGGCCCTGTTCTTTATAGGGTTTTTAAGGGATCGGGGGCTTCCTGGGGAACCTGAAGGAAGCTTAGGGAGCCTTGGGGAGTAGTGGCTGCCCCCTGGAACCCCTAAACCCTAGACCCTAAACCCCAAACCCCAAACCCCAAACCCCAAACCCTAAACCCTAAACCCCAAACCCCAAACCCTAAACCCTAAACCCTAAACCCTCTCCCTTTCGAACACTAAACGTTCCGCAGGATCTGGCGCACACACGCCTGGCTTCGGGCCCCTACGGCTTCTTGCAGTTGATGTTCAGAGATTTTGGGGGTTTAGGGTTTAGGGTTTAGGGTGGTTTAGGGTTTTGGGTTTCGGTTTAGGATTTGGGGAGTTTACAATAAGGGACCCCCCAGAAAAAGAGAGCCCCCCAGAACTTTCCCTGGTAACAAGGCAAACGTGGTACCACTGATTTCGGAAACCCTCACGTCGGGTTTAGGTTTGTTGAGATTTGGGTGTTGGCTGCCTGCTGTGGGTCACCATGCCGTGAGACGTACAAAAACAGCATATTTTTCGGGTGTGGCCACTGTAGGCTCTGAACTCTAAGTCCGGATCACCTTCATGACATGTTACATTTCAAGGGGGACTGTTCGGGGATTTAGGCTTGACTTCGAAGTTCGAGACTTTCAGCTCAAAGAGGGCAGGCTGGGCTCAGGGTGGTAAGGGGTTTAGGGTTTAGGGTTTAGGGTTTAGGGTTTAGGGTTTAGGGTTTAGGTATTCGCCTGCTGGGAGCCTGCGCCACACCATGGCCCTCACGATCGAGGTGAGCCTCCTAAGTGGCAGGTTTGTCTCACTGGAAGCTGAACCGGATGAGTCTGTAGAAGTCTTGAATCGCAGAGCACAGAAGGCTCTGGCAGTTGGCAGGGGCAGGCTCTTGGACTCCTCTGGAAACGCTCTGGACGGAGCCGCTACGCTGGAGCAATGTCACCTTCGGAGCGGTGATACGCTTCTCCTTCAGACGAGCATCGTTCGTGTTTGCAGTTTCTGGGCTTTTGCTGCTATTCTGGGCGATGGGTCTGTTGCGACCTGGGGACATGAAGGGTATGGGGACAGCAGTGCCATGCAATATCAGCTAAAGGACGTGCGGCAGGTACAAGCAACTCACAGCGCCTTTGCCGCCATTCTGGGCGATGGGTCTGTTGTGGCCTGGGGCAGTGCTGACTATGGTGGCGACAGCAGTGCCGTGCAAAGTCAGCTAAAGGATGTGCGTCAGATCCAAGCTTCACACATGGCTTTTGCTGCCATTCTGGGCGATGGGTCTGTCGTGACCTGGGGCCATGCTGACCATGGTGGCGACACCAGTGCTGTGCAGTCTCAGCTGAAGGACGTGCAGCAGATCCAAGCAACTGACAACGCTTTTGCCGCCATTCTGGCCGATGGGTCGGTCGTGACCTGGGGCCGTGCTGACCATGGTGGCGATAGCAGTAATGTGCAAGATCGGCTGAAGGATGTGCAGCAGATCCAAGCTACCAGCGAGGCTTTTGCTGCCATTCTTGGCGATGGGTCTGTTGCGACCTGGGGACATGCCAGGTGTGGAGACAGCAGTGCCGTGCAGAGTCAGCTAAAGGACGTGCGGCAGATACAAGCAACTAACAACGCTTTTGCCGCCATTCTGGGCGATGGGTCTGTGGTGACCTGGGGACATGTTGACTATGGTGCTGACAACGGTGCGGTTCGAGCCCGGCTGAAGGACGTGCAGCAGATCCAGGCTACCGGGTGGGCTTTTGCTGCAGTGCTGGGCCATGGGGCTGTTGTGACCTGGGGCCATTCCGGCCGCGGTGGCGACAGCAGTGCAGTGCAAGGTCAGCTGGCGGATGTGCAGCAGATTCAAGCTAGCAGATCCGCTTTTGCCGCCGTTCGGGGAGATGGCTCCATTGTGACCTGGGGCCGTGCTGACTCTGGTGGCGACAGCAGTGCTGTGCAAGTTCAGCTGAAGGATGTGCATCAGATCCAAGCTGCTCACATGGCTTTTGCTGCCATTCTGGGCGATGGGTCTGTGGTGGCCTGGGGCCATGCTGACTATGGTGGCGACAGCAGTGCCGTGCAGTCTCAGCTGAAGGACGTGCAGCAGATCCAAGCTACCGGCATGGCTTTTGCTGCAATCCTGGGCAATGGGTCCGTTGTGTCCTGGGGCCATGATGCCTTTGGTGGTGACAGCAGTGCTGTGAAACACCGGCTGATCAACACGTAGAGGGACGCAGAGGATGCCGAAGCAGCACTTGGCTGAAGAGCCGGACGTGTGTTGTCGAGTCCCCACTCCCTCTCTCTCTCTCTATCTTATTTACACGTTTACCCCAACGTTGCATCAACTCTGCGTCAGAAAACTTCGAGGGTATGCTCATATGCGAGGTGCACGCGTGCGTGCATCTAAGTGAGATCTGAGCGTACTGGCGACGTGTCTAGTTGCGTGTTGCGTGGTCCTGCGTTGACGCTGAGTGTCATGCTGCAGCAACCGTGCTCTCAGGGACCAGTGTGTCGCGGGGGCAAAAGTGTAGGGTTGCTTGTGAGATTTGTTCCAAGTTGTGGTTGGGCTAGTCTGGTGTCGTACTGTAGTGCGCCCGCAGCCCATTTTCGACTTTCCCGCCCTCCACAACCCTCGAAAATAGGGCTGGGGGAGGGGGTTCTAGTGCGACTTGACCTGTGTGCCCGGTTGTCGAGGGAGACGCGTGCGCCTCCCTCGGTTGTCGTACTGGTTTGTCTAGAATAATCGTGATCTAGACGTTCGTCCACCTTTCTGCAAAACAGGTAAAAGAGTCCCGGCGGGCAGGGTGGGCTTGAAGGTTTGTCTCAGTACAGGGAAGATCTCGCTCAAAGGATGTGTTTTTGTTGGTTTGAGGGTTGTTCCCTACTCAAAGGTAGGGCAGGTCGGGTGTAGGGTTCAGGTTGAGCACTCCGGGCCATGGGGGCTCCCTGTGGACCAGGTTTCTGTCCCTGCGCGCAGCCCTTCGACAACGCTGTCCTTCGCTGGGCCAAGGCATAGGGTTTAGGGTTTAGGGTTTAGGGTTTAGGGTTTAGGGTTTAGGGTTTAGGGTTTAGGGTTTAGGGTTTAGGGTTTAGGGTTTAGGGTTTAGGGTTTAGGTTTAGGGTTCAGGGTTTAGGGTTTACTGCTGCTGCTTTGGTGGTTTAGGTCTTAGACGCTTCATTTTCTAAGGGTCATGGGCCCCTTTTTGAAACCTCAACCCTAAACCCTTACGCCTTACACCCGATTAGACTCAGGAACCCTTCTAGGGGTCCCTCCATAACTCCCTCAATTCAAGGTTTTGTTTTAGCCCCCAGCTTTCAGAATATCGTGGAGGCCCGATGGCTATCCCCCTCCAACCACTCATCCCGGAACTCCCCGCATATGTACATACATACTCCGTGAACACGAAGATCCTGATTGACGTATTGTGGGAACCTCCCCAAAAAATGGGTGTACCACTGTGTTGCAACATGTCCAGAGGCTTGCAAACACCCTTAGTCTTAGTAGTAGAGTAGATATCCTTTCAAATTTGTGGGGTATCGGAATCCCTATATACTTCCCAAGGTTAACCTACCCCTAAACCCTAAACCCTAAACCCCTACTGGACAACTAAGCACTTCAGCAGTGAAGCCAGGATGTTCCCTCACAGAGCGCCGCGGAGGCTTTGCTGCAGGAGGCACTCAATGAGAGTTCGATCAGCCAGAAGGGGGCCTCGGGTGCTTCGGCGAGAGGGGGGGGGGGGTCAGGGCTTAGGGTTTTGGGTTTTGGGTTTAGGGTTTAGGGTTTAGGATTTGGGGTTTAGGATTTAGGGTTTAGGGTTTAGGTTTTTGGGTTTTTGGGCTTTAGGGTTTATTGTTTTAGGGTCTAGGCTGATCTCAGGGCGTAGGCTTGAGTTTCTTGGGTTGAGTTCCCTCGCTTCTGAGCTGTGCCTGCAACGGAGCCCAAGCCGAAGCTTGAAACAGACCATGTGTTCCCAAGAACATCCAGAGTCAAGGGCCCCTAACCCTGAACCCTAAACCCCAAACCCTAAACCCTGCAGCGCTCACAGCTTCAGCTTCTGATCTCTGCATATACACATGTATTAATACGCATATATATATATATGTGTATATATATACACACGCACATTGGCATGGTTCGTTATCTCCTTGCTTTCATACGTTGCATTACGCACACACACACATATTTATGTGCGTGTGTGTGTGAGCTAATATGAACATGCTCAATTAGTATGTGCACATACTTGTAGTTGTTTACGTGTATTTGTTTATGTTTATTCAGATGTTTGCATAGCTTCAGCTATATGTGTTTACAGCCATTCCATGTGCATCCATTTTTTGTACTCGTTGTGGTTTGTGTGAAAAAGAAATACATATGATCATAAGCGCATGCACACATTCCTACATTGGGCCCCTGTGAGGCCACAGCCCCCCGAAACCCGAAACCTGAAACCCTAAACCCTAAACCCAAACCCTATATACACACTAAACCCTACACCCCTAAACCGCAGGCCCGCCGGTGGCAGCGCGAGGGAGCTGCGTCCTGCGGCTTCACTGGGCTGGTGGCGGCCCAGGGCGACCCTTAGCTTGCGAAGCAGAAGCCATGAACAAATCTCAGAATTCTGGTATGCATAGAAAAAACAGATGTGTATATATATATATATATGTGTGTGTGTGTGTGTGCAGACACATACTTACCTCTCCCCCTCAGTCTCCCCCTCAGATCCGAATTAACGGCCTACCCCCCTGATTCCCCCAGCCGAAAAACCGAAAAACCTAAAACCCGAAGCCCTAAACCGAAACCCTAAAACCCTAAAATCCTAAAACCCTAAAACCCTAAAACCCTAAAACCCAAAAACCCAAAACCTTTAACCATGAATGAAACCCTAAACTCTAAACCCAAAACCATCCCAGAAGCACACCACAGGTGGGGGGGGGCTCAGAGGCCCGCCAAACCCGCAACCATACATACATATACATATATATATACATACATATATATATATAATATTAATACTTATTACATATATATATATATATATATATGTATAGATACATACATACATGCATATATACATATATGCATATATACAAATTTACACATATGCATTTACAGATTATCACCATCATTATTATTTTAAGTTATTGTTTTTGTCATTGTTATTGTTATAGGCATTGGTATTGTCATTGTTCTTTTTTTATTGTTGTTGTTATTGTTCTGTTATTATTGTTACCAGTGTTGCTATGATGATTATTACCATTGATATCAGCATTCTTATTATTTGTATTCTGATGTTATATTACAGTATACTTTTTGACATAATCATGTACTTCTGTTTTGCTTGCTTGGAAGCCCTTCTGACTGAGTAAGCAGGGTTAGTAAGGTGGGTTCTGGGCATTATCATAGGGTTTCTAGCGGATACGATGTAGACTTACTAAGTCAACAGATCTTCCAAGTATGAGTTTATGTATACTTGTACCCTCCAAATACACCACAGTAGTGGCCTGTATTTTGGGGTGATACGCATTAGAAGCATATTGAGGGTCCAGGCTTCAGGTTTTTGTTCGCTCGCGGCAGAAGGATCATAGGGTGTGGGGTTTGGAGGGGGTTTGGGGGTTTAGGGTCTCGGGTTTAGGGTTTAGGGTTTAGGGGGATTTGGTGGTTTAGGGTATAGGCTGTATGGAGCCATCAAGTATGGGGCTTTCGGCTTTGGGGAATTTGGGGTGATCGGACAGGGCTTCAAGGCTTGAGGGTTCAGTGTGGCTTGTGGGGGGTTGGGGACAAAAAACTTCTGGCCGATGCAAAAAACCTGCAGGATTTCGAGGTTTGGGGTTTAGGGTTTGGGGTTTAGGGTTTAGGGTTTGGGCTCGCTCTCGAATGGCATGGTTTTCGTCCCAGGCAGGCAGTGCAGCAGTCCTAGCCGTAAAAAGGGTTTGGGTTCTAGGGCTTGGGCGCGCTGCGCTTCAGCGTATACTGAAAGATGTAGTGGCCCAGCCACCCCTTAACCACCCTGAGCCCATGAGAACCCAAAGATCCAAAAAGGAGGTTCCTAAGAATGACCCAATAGTTTGGGATGTTCCCCCTTGTACGAACTGTCCTTAATAGGGATGAAAGTACCCCCCCCCCCCTTTTTGCAATCCAGATTAAGGACTCATAGTATAAGTTGGAACATCCCAACCAATAGTCTTCCAGGGTACTATTTGGGGGTTCTACTTCTTGGGATCCTCCTAGAACTCAGGGGTTTCCCTATTCGCCCCCCTCGAAACTACCCCCTCCTAGGTACCCCCCTTAAAGAACCTTAATCAGGCTCAATTATCCCTAAATAGCCTTGATGATGAGGGGAACCTAAGGGTGGTAGTATACTTTGTGGTACTTTACTGTAACTTTACATCTTTAGCCTTTTTGGGCTTATTGGGTTTCTTAATAAGGCAGCTAACAGTTTAAATTTGTACTAGCCTCCTAAGTGCAGCCAAGTATACAGGGGGGTAGTAGGGGAACCCCTGGAGCACCTGTGGGTCTGGGAAGGCTATGGCCCAGCTCTCGGCCAATGGGACAGCAGTGCCCTGGGCTGGCGAGGCACCGTCGTTAAGGGTTTAGGGTCTAGGGTCTAGGGTTTAGGGTTTAGGGTTTAGGTTTTAGGGTTTTGGGGCGGTAGGTTTCTGCAGCTTGTACCAGACTCCGGAAGACTTGAGCCGTCGGCATTGGCTCAGAGAGAGAGAGTCTGGGTTCCAGAAAAAGGGTCGTCTCTTGTCTAAAGCCTCCACCCTCAATTTTGAACCCTAACCTCCAGCTAAAAACACAAGCCCTAAACCCCTGTAACCTCCCAAGTTCTAATCATTAAAGGAACTGTTGCATAGGTGCTTGCGTGCCCAGGTCAGCAACAGAAGTGTCTTTGAGTCTACAGACTTCAAGGCTTTCAGGGTCGCTTCACAAGCTTTGCTTCGTTTGGGGCGAGTTTTCTTTGCTAGCCAAAGTACTGCAGCAGCAGCCAAGAGCGACACCCCTAAACCCTAAGCCCTAAACCCTAAGCCTAAGCCCTACAAATTACGGGTACCAAGCCAGAGCCCTCAGCCTTAAAGGCAAAGCAGCTGAGCAGCTGCAAGACCCCTAATAGTTACCCCCCCTTGTTCTTCGTAGGGCATGAGGGAATGAGAGAGCCCGACTATCATCCCTAAAAGGGTAAAAAAAGAATCGGGCCCTCATTCCCTCATTCCCTGCTACCCTAAACCCTTATAAACCCTAAACCCTAAACCCTAAACCCTAAGCCAGATTCAGGTGCTTGCCTATGGCCATCCCACCTACTATGGGATGATGGTGGCCAAGTTTGAGCGGGAGCCGGCAGGGGCTTTGATGGTTTAGGAGCTTAGCACCAGAAAACGGCGCATCCGCCACAAGAACACCCTCCTAAACCCTAATCCTTCTAAACCCTAAACCTTACCCCCTATAACAACCCTAAACCCCAAACCCTAAACCCTCAACAACCCTAGTCTTCATGTTGAGGATCCGGATGTCATGAACAGCATGGCGCCGTGCCGAAAAGAAGGGGACCTGACATCCGCCTCGGCTTCCTAAGCCCTGCGCCCTAAACCCCAAACCCTAAACCCGAAACCCTAGCCCTAAACCCTAAACCCTAACCCCTGATTGTCACGTTCTCAGGGATGACCAGACATGAGACCCGAAGTCGAGACCCCTCCGATTTTGAGGGTCCGTTTAGTTTGGGTGTCTTATGTACCATTGACGTGTGGTGGATTTAGGGTGGAGGGTCTATAGGGTTAGGGTTTACGGTTTAGGGTTCAGGGTTTAGGGTTTTGATTTTTAGGGTTTTGGGTTTGGCTTGAGGCTCGCAACCCTATCGCAGAGTAACCCATGTGCCCTCTCAAAAAACGGTACGTAGACCCGATGCTCAAGGTAGATCCCCCCTTTCTAACTCGAGGTAGCTTTAAACCCCTAAAACTCAAACCTTCAACGCTCTTAAACCTAAACCGTAGTTTGGGTTCATAAGCTAAGGATGGTGTTGCTCGTGCTCTCCATCGCGCTGATGAATCTCGTGACCGCGGCCAAAGACTCAGACTGCTCAGGCGTAGGCGTACGTAACCAGCTTGGGGGATTCCTGCAACTTGCAGGATTTAGGGTTTAGGGTTAGGGTTTAGGGTTTAGGGCCTAGGGCCTAGGGCCTAGGGTTTAGGGTTTAGGGTGTAGGGTTTAGGGTTTAGGGTCCTGGTGCCCGTATTTCGGGAGTGCCCATGTCCCAGGGCAACAGGAAGGGATTGGACACCCTCAGCCCAAAACCCGAAGCCCGAAGTCCAACGCCTGTAACATGTCGAGAGCTCACTGCTTCTGCAGAACCCTAAACCCTAAACCCTAAACCCTAAACCCTAAACCCTAAGGGATGCGTGGGGATTTTGTTGCTTTAAGCTTCTATTTTTTGGGTAAGGATGCCTAAGCTGCAGCTACAACTATAGGGTTTGCCAGGGTTCCAAGTTCAGAATAGGAACAGGACCTCCGACCCGCATCCCTCTGAAAGCTTCCTTAGGTCATGGTCAACTCGTCACTGGATCAGGTCGGCCACGCGCGAAGGATTTTGGATTTAGGGCTTAGGGTTTAGGATGTAGCCTAGTAGTAGAGTAGATAACCTTTAACCTTTTTTGGGGTAGTATAATCCCCTTATAATCCCAAAGGTTAACCTTGAATTCCCCCAGGTTACTGGACAACTAGGGTAGGGCTTGGGGCTTGGTTCGGGTTTCGAAGCCCCAAAACACGGGCGACGATCACGGGATTAAAGCTCGAACCCCTAAGGTTGTACCCCTCAAGGTTCCCCTTGCTATACTCCTAAGACATACTGTTCGTTAGTAGGGAATGAGGGAATGAGGGCCCCATGTATACTGTATACTGTATACCCTTTACGGGATTCTATCGGGGTACCTCATACCCTAAACCCTAAGAATGTGCCCCTTTTCTTCCCTTCATGGGTACTTCAAAAAGGGGTCCCCAGCGCACAAGGGTACAGACTGAAGGGTCCAAGGTATACCACCCTAAACCCTAAACCCTAAACCCTAAACCCTAAACCCTAAACCCTAAACCCTAAACCCTAAACCCTAAACCCTAAACCCTAAACCCTAAACCCTAAACCCTAAACCCAACAACTGGTCACCCTGTAAGACTGGGCATCCCTGGAGTCAACCCCTGCTCGCCGCCTACAGCCAACCAGCCTGAGGGTGTTCGGGTTTTAGGGTTTAGGCGTAGGGTTTAGGGTTTAGGGTTTAGGGTTTATAGGGTTTAGGGTTAGGGCTTAGGGCTTAGGACTCAGGGTTTAGGGTTTAGGGTTTACGGGCTCGTTTAGGGTTCAGGGTGTTAGAGTGTTGGGGTGTTAGGGTGTTAGGGTGTTAGCAGGGTTTTGGGTGTAGGGCGTAGAGCGTCGGGTGTTCGGTGTTCGGCTGTTAAGTTGTTAAGGTTTCCAGGGTTTTGGGGTCTTGGGGGGTTGGGGTTTCGGGTTCAAATGTGGTTTAGAGTAGACACGTAGAGTCTCAGCCCTTAAGCGGAGACCACGGCCCGAACCAGTTCCCCTGTGGCGTGCGGGCTTCTTGAAGGTTCGTGGTTGTGGTTTAGGGTTTAGGGTTTAGAGTACCCCACTTCTGACCTAGCTGGAAATATTCCCTGAACATACCCCTTGAGCTCTGAACCATGTCGAAGTACGCGTCTTAAGGGTGGCCCTTCCTTGCCTAAACCCTAAACCCTAAACCCTAAACCCTAAACCCTAAACCCTAAACCCTAAACCCCAAACCCCAAACCCCAAACCCCAAACCCCAAACCCCAAACCCTAAAGCCTAGACTGCGCGCCAGGCCTCTGAAGACAAGGAGGTGAAGAAGGCTCGACAGAAGTTTGGATGGTTTGCGCGGGCGGTCGAGGAAGTTGTGCGCAGGAGAACTCAGGGTTTGGGGTTTAGGGTTCTGGGACTCTACTTACCTACATTTTTTAGTAGTAACTGCCCCTGAATTAGTAGGTACAACCCATAAAACTGTAGGTACAGAGGGTCCCAGGTAAACTTAAACCCAAGTGCACTTAGGGCGCAGTCCTGAAAACATGAAGCGGATGCGGGCGATTCTGACGCTTTGCAGTGGACATTGGCTTACAGCCGCATAGAAAGGTTAGGGGGTTAGGGTTTTAGGGTTTAGGGTTTAGCGTTTGGGGTCTAGGGCCCTAAACCCTACAGACCCTAAATGCCAATTTCTTCCCTAAACCCTAAACCCTAAACCCTAAACCCTAAACCCTAAACCCTAAACCCTAAACCCTAAACCCTAAACCCTAAACCCTAAACCCTAAACCCTAAACCCTAAACCCTAAACCCTAAACCCTAAACCCAATCCTTGGATGCTGACAGTATACACCTCCGGAGGCCTGGCTGGCGGCCAAGAAGAAAAAGCAGATGGAGGCAGGTTGTGGGAGGGTTTAGGGTTTAGGGTTTAGGGTTTAGGGTTTAGGGTTCTCATAGAATAGAATAGAATTGAATACCATAGAATAGAAAGAATAATATGAAATTTTCTAGTATAGTGGGCTGTGGCAGTACGGCTTTACGGCTCGCGTGGCTGCGACGACTGAAGCAAACAATGTGGCAACACTATAAGGTTCCAAAAAACAGGTTTACGGTTTAGGGTAGAAGGGTACCCCTGCCCCCAAACTCCCCCTGTTCCCTGAGTAGCCTCCAATTCAGGGCAGTTTGGGTGGGGTCTGCCCGTAAGCCCTAAACTCTAAACCTTAAACCCTAAACCCTAAACCCTAAACCTTGGGTGGTGAAAAGTGTGGGTGCCCACGTGGTGGGGTCCGGATTCCGCTCTCTCGCATAGGCTCGGGGCGATCTCCTGCTTGACTATCTAAGAATCGTTTCATGGACCCTTTTGTGGGTTAGGGTTTAGGGTTTAGGGTTTAGGGTTTAGGGTTTAGTGTTTAGGGTTTAGGGCAACTTGGGGGTTTCCGAGATTAGGGGTGCCTTACTGGGGTCCTCATTATAGCGGAGTCCCACTGTTTGCGGGACGATATTAAGGGTCCCTTATCTTCGGAAACCCCCATGTGGTCCCTTACTTTCTTTAAAGGGTTCTGAAGTATGAGCCCTTGGGTGATGTAGGGTATATACGGGGCATATAAGAGGCCCCTTTACGGGCCCATGGTAAGGGACCATGCAACGACCCTGCAAACGAGGGTTTAGGGCTTAGGGCTTAGGGTTTAGGGTTTAGGGTTACGGACAGGCTTCAGAGGTCCGTGTTAAAAAGGGTTTAGGGTTTAGGGTTTAGGGCCCCTCAAGAATTTCCGATGCGTGCATCTACCTGCAAAGTGCGTCCAGGAGTTGAAGGTGATGTTCCACGAGTTGGACGAGGATAGCAGGGGTGGGGTTTGGGGTTTAGGGTTTAGGGTGTAGGGTTTAGGGTTTAGGGTTTAGGGTTTAGGGTTTAGGGTTTAGGGTTTAGGGACCCTGAGCCCGAGAACCTAGCTAAGTCCTATCAACTATAAACCCCTAGCCACAGATGCGCCCTAGACCCTGAACCCCCAAAAACCCTTGTGAAGTGGACGTCAGTTTAGCAAGCAAACTATGTCGGCGTTGGAAATATGTCGCATTTTCCCTTGTTGGGCTTAAGGGATTAGATTTCGGAACTTTTTCAGAGGGTTTACTTAAGAACCCCCCCCCAAGAAAAAAAAAAAGATGATGATCCCTACATTGCCCTTGTAAGGTTTTTGTTGGGGTGAGGGGGGGGGGGTTCTCCAGCAAATGCTCTTTGAAAGGGCCAACCAAGACAAGAAGCCCTAAACCCGAAACCCCAAACCCTACAGACCCTAAACCCTAAACCCTCAACCCTATAGACCTAAAAACCCCAAAGGCCCTAAACCCTAAACCCTCAACCCTATAGACCTAAACCCCAAAGGCCCTAAACCCTAAACCCTAAACCCTAAACCCTAAACCCTAAACCCTAACCCCCTGTGAGGACGGCTCAGGGGACCTCTCCCTCTCCGAGATCCGCACCGCACCCCAGCACCTGCGAACCGAGCTCCAGGCCAGACGCAGCTGTTGTCTAGCTGGTCTAGTTGGGTTGGGGTTTTGAGGGTTTTGAGGGTTTTTAGGGTTTTTAGGGCCTTTAGGGTTTTTAGGGGTTTTTAGGGCCTCAAGGGTTTTCAGGGGTTTTGAGGGTTTTTAGGGGGTTTTTGGGGTTTTTGGGGCTTAGGATTTGGGGCTTCTGTGTCGCACCAGGCAAGGACTTCAGAGCCCTTGTTCAAAAACGGGTTTAAGGGTGCCCCGCAACCCCCAACCCCCACTAGGGCTTCTTAGGGCTTTGAGTGCAGTTTTGGATTCTCTGGGCTTATAGTTTAGGGT